TCACGTCAGATCTGGCGAGATCCGGACATCGGATCCGATAGGTTCTGGCTACATGAGTCCGGTCGGAATGGATGGAATCCGGTAACCGAATATGAAAGAAAAATGACGAATATGATCGGATTCTGGCGGAAACGTCCCGACCGGATCCGATGACCGGGTATGAACGGATTTAAAAGCCGTCCGACAAGATCCGACGGACCGCGATTCTCCTGGGATAGTTGAAGACGTCTATGAAACTGTCATCGAAAATCAAATAAACTTATCAGTTTTGGAATGAAATATTGGCTACTATGTATTCAACTATTTTCTTATCTATTACGAACTATGAATGGGAGTTGATTACGTATGGTTATGAATTTAGACGTTGCTGAATAACAGATTCCTACTCAAAACCTAAAGACCACTATAAGATCATGTGTTCTATGGCACCTTTTAAACAAAATTTTCTACTGAAAAAACGTTTCCTGTAAAATAAAACATAAAACAACTAAGTCCAACTACTTTATCAACTGTCCCTGCAGCAGATTTATGTTTTCTGATTATCGATGTGAGTGTGGGTGTATGTCTTCTTTTATCCACACCCACACCCGTAAATATAACAAGTCGAATTGAAATATAGAATAAGATTTTGTATGAACATTATTTCATATTGAAAATGATTTTATTAAATAGTATAAATCATTTGTTGTTCACTCTCATTGCTATGAATGAAACGTATTTGTTCCAATATGTAAGAGTATATCAGAAAGGATACAGTTAAATATTTATTCTATCGAAAGTATTTTATGCCTGTAAGTTTAGAAGCTGATACGATTAACAAAAATAATAATAAATCGAAGAAAGAGATTTTTTCACTTTTTAGCCTATATCCCCACATACATATAATAAGATTATTCGTTTAATAAAATCAATGAAAAACAAACGATTATTTTGAAAATCTCAATTCAATTCAATGTACTTGTAAAAGAGATTTTTTTGTATTGCATAAGCAAATATCGAGACTAAGGATAATTTTCTTGTTTCGGGCTTTTGATTATACGTCTGAAAAGAGTATTATTTGCTATGGCTCGAATAATCATCTCGATTTGACTCAAATGAAATATTGATTCATATTTCGAAGCTATCTTAAACTTGATTAACACAATTGAGCATGCGGACATAGATCTCATTTTCTGCTACATCTACACCTGTAGTTGTATCAAACTTCGCTGATTTCCCATTGCTTTTTCACTATTTTTCATACATTATTAAAATCGATTGTTTCTCAAACACGAATCATGCTTTAAACAATATATTCCTCTGCCGTAATCGTCATCATAACTAATTTTATTTCAATAAATCGAAAATAAACAAAAACAAAAAATGGTATGATTTTATAAACTTTTAAGAAGGTTTCGATGATATTTCAAAACGCAAAATGGAAGAATAAAACATTCTTACTTGTATTATTTGTCTTTATTGTCTGAAGTATTTTCGTAAGGAAAAATTATTTCATAGAGAATTAGCGATTGACCATTGGTTCCTTCTACTCTTAGAAATGTGCTTATATTTGTTTAGTACGCTATTCAATTAATCGTGTTCATCTAGACTCTGTTATGGAATAACAATTGGATTGATATCATGGATAAAGATGCGCTTTCAAGAAAAGAATTAGTCAGCTCTGTAACAAATTACTCAAAAAATTCTTCTGTTACATTCCATATAGTCTGCTATGAAACTCAACTCAACTCAAGTTCTTTAAGGAGAAAACTTCTGAGGAAATTTTGAGTTAAGAAAAACCAAGGCGAAATGAAAGCAAAATACGCTCTTTCTTGAGCTCCTTGTTTCATTCGGTACTTCCTAAGACAATTTTCTGTGCTTTTCAAAGTTACTCCATTATTCGATGAAGTGATCTTGGAAATTTATGAAGTGGACTTTTAATTTTTCGATACTGCAAACATTAAAAATAGCTAATGTCAGCAAATTTTATATGACTTCAGTACTCTTTCGATATCATATGAGACATTTTAGGGTGTGGGTGTGGGTGTAAGTTTTTATAGTATGCTATTGACCCACACCCACTCCCTTATCCAGTACAGGCGGCCACTTCTTTACTACGGGAACAACCATCTTGTTGATGACTATTTGATAAAAAATCAATTGCACTAAATAAGATTAGTGTTAATTTGTTTATTACCTTATGCTGGCTTAGAATAAATTAGAATTCTTTTCATTTTTTCAATAGCCGACTGCTATCTATAGATGTCGTTAGTGAGAAGCGCATATGCTATTGATAGGCCGAACGTAAAAGACGTTTTGCTGAGACATTATTCGACAATCAACAAATGTATTGTATGCATGCCATGCAATGCACTGTAAAATGAATTCAGAGAAGTTTTCTGTTAAACTGGGGAAAATGTGAAATTAAGAATTTACTTCCTTTTTCTAGAATATTTTAGTGTAATTTTAAAGAATACGTGTATTCATGGCTAATAACGACAAAGCGAATATTTTTCGTGGACAAAGACATGTTTCAGGTTTTGCACCATCATCAAACAATGAAGAACAAGCTAAGGTATGTGATAAGTTCGTATAGTTATTTCTGTAAACTCGGAAGTTTATGAGATTGAGTGTGTGCGTGTGTGAGTTTTCCTCTTGTGTTCTTTTTGCAAGAGTTCTCGTGTTTGTCCTACGTTCAATTTTGGTCAAGTAAATGAAACTCTTAAAAACATATCGAATATTCATAATAATCTCAAATCATTAGCTGATATGAGTAAAAATAATCATAATTATGAAATCGACCATGATGATAAACCAGAAAAATTTACGCCTATCGGACAATTATCAATATTAAATAAACATTCAACTCTACGTGATATCAATCATTCATTAATAATGGAAGACGATGGAACAAATCCACAGTCACCATTGCATTCAGTGAAAACATTCGAAGAATTAAAATTAGAACCAAAACTATTAAATGGAATTTATTATATGGGCTTCCGACGTCCATCACGTATTCAAGAACGTGCATTACCACAATTACTTGCCTATCCGCCACGAAATATGATTGCTCAATCACAAAATGGAACTGGAAAAACAGTAAGTCGAGAAATCTCTATCTTATCAAATACATTTCATCGGAATGGTTTAGGCAGCATTTTCGTTGGCAACTCTTAGCCGTATGGATCCAAATTTAAATTATGTTCAAGCACTCATACTATCACCTACATTTGAACTTGCTTTACAAATCGGACAAGTAATTGAAAATATGTCAAAATTTTTACCTCACATTAAAATTGCATATGCGGTACGTGACCCGAAAATATCAAAACGTAACGAATATGTCAAAGGAAAAGAATTAGACGTTCCGATTGTTATTGGTACACCAGGTACAGTTGAAGATTGGTGTAAAAAATTAAAAATAATTGATTTAAAAAAATTACGAATGTTTGTTATCGATGAAGCCGATGTTATGATTAGTTTACCGGGTTTTTCGCAAATTTGTATTGATCTTGTTAAGAAGACCATTGGCAAAGATTGTCAAACCATGCTTTTCTCAGCAACATATTCAGATGAGGTTTGTTTACAAAATAAAAAAAGATTTCTTGATCGCTTTTTTGTGTATTTAGGTTATGGATTTTGCCAAACGAATTATTGAAAATCCTGGTAAGTTATTTACATATTATTATTGAATTGAGGAAAAGCTTTTTGAGTGTAAAGAAAAATGTATTTTTTTTTTCTATATGTTCAACTTTTAATACTTTCAATTCAACCTATTTTTCGTTTAGTTATTTTTCGATTAAAACGTGAAGAACAGTCATTATCAAATATTCGTAAGTATTCGAAAAATATTTTAATACTCATTTTTTTTTACTTTTTCTAATTAAACTAGGTCAATTTTATATTGAATGTAATAATGACGAAGAAAAGTATGATGCTGTTAAAACAATCTATTCATCGATAACTATTGGTCAAGCAATGATATTTTGTCGTTTTAAACGTACCGCCCATGCTCTTGCATTACGTATGATCAATGATAAACATTGTGTTGAATTACTTTCATCAGAATTAACTGTTGAACAACGTGCTGCTATTATCAATCGTTTTCGTACTGGAAAATTTCGTGTTTTAGTTGTCACTAATGTTTGTGCACGTGGCATAGATATCGATGATATATCATTAGTACTTAATTTCGAATTTCCACTAGTTTATGATGAAAAAAAACATAGTTTTAGTGATAAACCGGATTATGATACATATTTACATCGTATCGGACGTGCAGGAAGATTCGGTCGTATTGGCCATACGTACGCTTTTAGTTATTTTTAAAAATATAATAATCGTTCATGATAATCTATTTTTCTATAGATTTAATTTAATAACGCCATCGGAAAAACACTTACTTAAACAAGTTGAAGATTATTTTCAAAAGCCAATCGTTGAATTTTCAGAAAAACATATCATTGATGATGACGAACTCTACAATATATAAAACGATTTTTATATATTATGATAAATTTCTTTGTTCCTGTTTTGTTTTACTCCCTGTGAAATGTGATATTTTGTGTGTGCATATGTGATTAGAAATCTTCAAAGAACAGAAATTTGTGATAGGTTTTTGAACAGAAACTAAATTGAACCAGCTTTTTCTTGTTTTAGCGTGAAGCAATGACGTCAGCAACGATAAACGATAATTTGACACAATTAGCGCAGAACCAAAGTTTTGCTGTATCGGAAGCAGGATTAACCGCACAATTGGCTTCACTTGCAACTGCTTCAGAACCAAATAATTTTTCATCGAATTCCCAACAATCACCTGTTGCTACGTTCCCTCAAAGAACCGTGAGCGGACCATCATCAGTACATTTTTGCATTTAGACGTTTGCATGAAGTGTCATTTTGCTGTTTTCTCTTAGAATAATACAGAGTCACCATTTGGTAATGCATTTACAAGTGGACAGGCCCAGGGATTTTCATTTAAAAATACATCATCAACAGAGCATTCGGGTTATAATTTTTCGACTGCATCATCAGGAAATGTTCAAAAATTTTCGTTTACAAATTCATCGTTGGGCGATGGTCCATTTACGTTTAATGAATCGCCAGCTAATGCACCAGCTCATCAACCAATACCATCATTTACGTTCACACCAACAAAGCAACATCAAGATATGCCAAATAATAAATTGCAAACTCCATCATCACATCAAAATTCCAGACAAGGACCGCCAACAAATGAAGCACCTAGAATGACACAAAATAATATGCCAGCAGTTTCAAGAAAGCCACCGAGTCCTACAACACCTATAGCTCAACAGCCTAGTTTCCTAAATCAAGAGCAAGAAGCACCTGATCTGCCCATGTCGTTAGCTGACGCATCAAAATTAGGCAAAATGCTTAATACAACATTACGAGATTCAAGTGCATTAGTTGTTGATCGTAATGATCCCAAATCACCATTATATTCATTGAAATCATTTGAAGAACTCGATCTAAAATCTGAATTATTAAAAGGTTATTTTCTTAGAGATTTCTACAGTTAGAAAAGACGAGAATATCAGTGATAGATCCAAATTACTTGCTTAACTTCTCAAAAATCAACAAAAAAGACTTTTAGCCTAATGGTGTTAGTATTATTTTATAACGAAAATGTCAAGTCATAGTTTAGATGTGATGAATCATTTTTAAAACAGCAAAGTACTAAGGCTATGAATATAAGTGAGGATGGCATTTTTAGTGTGTAGTAGCCTTGATTTTAATTTATATAGATCGTTAAAAACGTCATAGATTTAATGCTGAAATTAGAGAAGTTTTCTATTGTAATGACAGATTCTTCACTTTCAGGTAAACCGTTTTATATGATGTGCATTAGGGAGGTCGTAACTGTAACCTTAAACTATTACTTACAAATGACTATTCCATGAATATTATTGCGCTCTCATACTTACGTATTTTAGCGAACTAGTCACGATGTTAGAAAAGATTCTTCATTGAAGTGATACGAAATTTATAGCTAGGTAAAAATTGAATTAAAAATAAGCATGCGAATGAAATTGGATATTTAGTGTTAGAAATTTATAACACTGATATAATTTTGCTTTTTATAGGAATTTATAGTATGGGCTTTCAAACCCCAAGCAGAATTCAAGAAATTACTTTACCTCAATTGCTAAGCAATCCGCCAAGTAAATTCAGCGTTTTTCTTTCTAATTCTATTGTACGATCAGTTTTTCTTTGCTAGGAAATTTAATAGCACAATCACAATCGGGTACTGGCAAAACAGCTGCTTTTTCATTAGCGATCCTCTCACGTATTGATCCATCGATGTCAATACCACAAGCACTTATTCTTTCACCAACATTTGAATTAGCGCTGCAAATTGGTTCAGTGATTGAAAGAATGGCACAATATTTACCATATATAAGCATTGCCTATGCTGTTCGCAGCTCACCAACACTAAGCTCAACTAATTTAGTTCGCGGTCAACTCTTACCACAACCCATCGTTATTGGTACACCAGGTACAGTTGAAGATTGGTGTCGTCGACGACGCATTATTGACTTGAGCAAACTACGTATGTGCTGTGTTGATGAAGCTGATGTTATGATCGCAACTGAAGGTTTTCAACAAACATGCGTTGGTCTTGTAAAAGGCCTCAATCCTGCTTGTCAAATGATGTTATTTTCAGCTACATACTCCGATGAAGTGATGACGTTTGCACGTGAAATCGTTACACAACCAATTGTCTTAAGATTAAAACGTGAAAAACAAGCACTAAATAATATACGACAATTGTTTATACGTTGTGATAATCCTGAACAGAAATTTTACGCTATTGAACAAATTTATTCTCATTTAGTACTGGGACAAGCTATGTTTTTTTGTCGAACTAAAGCAACTGCACGCGCTTTAGCCATTAGAATGTCAAATGAACAACATTCAGTAAGAGAATTAACAGCAGCTTTAGATATTGAACAACGTGCATCCGTTATTCGTCAATTTCGTGAACGTGTATTTAATGTATTGATATCAACTAATGTTACGGCTCGTGGTAAGTTGACTTAAACATGAACTAGTAGCAACTTTAAAAAAAATGTAAATCAGATTCTTTGTTGGCATTATTTCATAGTTTTATTTTCTATAATTTACGTAGATCCTTAAACTTGAGAGGATATAATAATGACTCAAGAACCCAATTGTGTCTCACGGCCTTTCCGAAACACCTTTTTTTCTCGTTACACTTCCCGTGTGAGTCAACAATGAGAACAATGTTTAAAAGTCGACTTTCTCGTAAATCGATTTTTGCAGTTTGATGTAAATATTTTTCCAATTTTGCTTAGAAAAACAGAAAAATATTTAACTGAATAAAATATTGTATTGTTCAGAAAAGGATCCCTACAATTTTCATAAGGTATGCGTTAGATAAATTATTAGTGATAAGAAAAATACATAAAAAAGGTTTGTTTTTCTTGAAATTGTAAATGGCATCGGAAGGAAGCGCAAGATTTAGAAAAAATTATTTTTCACAGGAGCCTGTCAATCGATGGCGGGTTGAGTTTTAGAAATAAATCAACAAAAATTTCATAAGAAGAAAATGACTAAATTCTTTTTAGGTATTGACATCGATGATGTTTCATTAGTGGTTAATTATGATATGCCGGTTACTATGAACGGTAAACCAGATTTTGAAACATATCTTCATCGAATTGGTCGTTGTGGTCGCTTTGGTAAACTAGGTATGTTGAATATTTCTTTTGGCATTTGATATATCTTAAATTTTGTTTTTAGGTTATACATTTAATTTAATTAGCTCTGATCAAGATTTCAACACAATGAAAGCCATTGAAGAATATTTCCATCATCCTATCGATGAGATCACCATCGAAGCTATAGGCAATCTTGAGCCAGATCAAACATAAAATTTATTTTCGTGTACTTGTATTATTCAGCTTGATTTTTTTTCTTCTTTGATTGTTGTCAAGAAAAATTCTCTTTAAACGTGATACATTATCAAAAATAAAAAAAAAATTAATATAATTAAAAAGAAAGGAATTCTCAGAAATTAATAGGAGAATAGTTTCGTCTTCCACGATGAATTGGTGGTAATTGAATTCGAGCATTTTCTGACGTGGGCCAATCAATAACTTTATCATAATCATTACGTACGAGTAATTCAGTTGTATTCATAAATTTTTCTTTTCGTGAATTTTCTACACTTTTTTTCTGTCGTAATTCTTCAACATACTGTTTAGAACGACGTTCAAATACGAATTCATAAATATTCTTATGTTGAAGAACTCGAAATAAGGGTTCAACGGAGTATTCTTTTGCAGTACAATTCTTATTTGTTGATCTATAATAAAATTGTCGATTATCGGATAGTTCTAATGTTTTATGTTTATAGGTAACGACTAGGCCGAGATCATTTTTTGCATGTTGTGCAAGACGATGTTCAGCAAAATAAGTTTTATAATCCATAAGACGAATTCGACGTTGATAAAGTGAAAATTTCTCTTCGAGCATTTCATCTTGTCGTTTATTGTGACGATTTGCCAATATATGATTATCAAACGATCGACGAAGCAGACTTTCTCGAATAGTTTTCATATTGATTATTGAAATAGAAAATAATAGAAGACAAAAAGAGAAATTGTTTATAGTAACACATTTGATTGTTTTCTTTTCTTATTTGACTTGAAATATAGACTTTGTGAACATGCAAACATTAGTTTTTCTCGTTGAGCAACGGAGATTTTCTTAGAAAACAAAAAATATTAATAATGGTGTTGTTCGGTAGGCGTGAACTTCTAAAAAAGGTTTCTAAAATGCTGGACTTGATAATGATCTAAAACAACAGAAAAGTTTCGTTCTTGCAGAAAATATAATTCACCACTTTAAAACATCCACATCGAGTACTCACAAAGAAGAAGAATCAAATATGCATTTCCACTTTGATAAGTACCCGTGAAAAAGGCCTAGGAAGATTTCCTTTATATTACTTTTTCATTCGAGGAAGAAATTCTACTGGAAATTGATTCTTTTAGTAGAAACGTGCAATGTTCAAAAATAATTCAAGAACAATGAACGATAAATATTATTTTGTAATTTTTCCATTTGTCGTTTGTGAAGGATTTCTTTTCAAACGGGAGGGATTTTCTATTGAATTGAACGAAACACTGATAGAATAGGCAACTATAGATTTATTTTAATACTTCAATTGTTTTCTCATCGACTGATATAACTGTTCAGTGCTGTATGTAGCACGTTATTTAGTTTTCTTCTCAAAGATTTTATTTGCGAAGAAAAAGAAATAGAATAGATATTTAAGGACATTGATATGTTGATGTAATTGTTGTTTGCACATCGATTTGCCAAGCACCTAATGGTCGATCTCCTATATTAGTATAGATTCCAGAGGGTATACTCTGAAATATATCACCCCTAATATTTAATGTCATTTTAACTGGTCGAATATGAGCTGGTTGTGAGAATTTATAAAGATTTGAAGCACATTTTGTATGACTGAAAATTGAAACTGGAGGAAAAGCAAGCCAAGGCGAAATATTAGCATCGACAAATGATGAAAAATTCGTTGTTTCTGGTGAACCAAATGGCAAAAGACTAGGCGTTAAAGGTTCAAATGAAACTTCTACCAATCCTTGTTTATACGAAATGGAATATTTATTATTGTCAAAGTCAGCGTGCATAGTAGCCTAAAAATTAGCAATGATTATTTCTTTTTTTGAATAATAAATAACAAAAATTAATTTACCAAATAACTCGGAAGACCGTAGACAAGATGCGTCGCACTCACATCGAGTGCACTGTTTTGATAAACCAATGGTTTTAACATCACAGTTTTATTTTGACGAATTAAATAAGGAATTTCTAATTTAAATTCAACAAATGTTTGCTCAGTCAAATTAGCTAACCATGGTGGTAGTGAACTTTGTTCACATTGATTTTGTTGATTAAATTCAAAATAAACAGGATGTTCATCATTTTTCATGAAACTTGCCAATGGATTTGATGAGTTAAATGAAAGTATTTCTTTTGAATGGTCAAGAAATGGTTGTAACATAGTTTTTGGAAATGGCATTAAAACCCACCATGCTGTGGTTCGACAGTTAGTTTGACTGTAGCTAATAGATATTAAGGAAAACGCTAAGAGGATTTGAGTCAACATTATTATACTTTATCGTCTATTGTTTGTCATAGAAAATAACGATTTTACATGTGAAAAAACATCATGTGATTTAAACTGCAATAATGCGGATAAGTGAATAAAAGAAAATTATTATTAGAATAAGCCAATGATATTACGAACAAATAATAACACGAAATAATGACATTGCTTTTTCTTAAAACACACACATTACAGTGTAATTCTTTTGTTTTATTCATTCGTCGAGTTCTTGCCAGATGAGAATATTATTTTTATATAGACTACCGTATTTCAATATGTTTGCCAATGATTTTAGAAGTTTTCACTCTCTAGAGTGTTGTAAACGAATGGAAATTTAATAAAATAACACTACAGATCAAATAGTTCACAAGTGTTCTACAATGACATTATTGATTGATAATATTCTAAATTAAAAATTTAGTTACGATAATTATTATTACTTAGCCATAAGTATCTACCGAAGCATATATCCGAAACTCTTGCATACAGTTTGTAAACTATAAAACTTAGTCAGATAAGTCAGAGGCACTCTCAAATTATTTCATAAACGCTGTATCGAGACAACAGAAAAAGATTAGAAATTTCGTTTAATATTTTAAATGCATCGAACTTGGTAAAATTAAAAGAATATTTCTGATTACTCAATATGTAGGACGTCAATAGCATACGATTATTCAACAACATAGTTAATCAATAGATATTACGTCATCAATTTCCCATCGAGAGATTTTCCACTGATAACTCATCACGTTGATTGATATTTCATCGACAGTCGTATTTTTATCAGCCGTGCAAGCTTTCCTGAAATATGATAAATAAAAACTAAAATTCATCATATAGTTGAGTGATGACAAATTTGTACACAATATTCCGTTAATAAATAAAAGCTAACGTTAATCGGATGAAAATGATTTTCCTGATTTCCAATAGAAACGCTTTTGTGATAGTTACCTCAATTTATTTTTGTTCGTGACTCAAGTGATTATTCTTGCGTGACTATAAAACTCGATAGATTGAGAGTATGCTTGAAGAGAAATTTCTAATTACCCCCTTCGAAATCGTTTTCGAACAGTAAATAAACACGGACACTTTACGAGTAGGCTTTTTGTTCTGGTACACTTGATATAGAATATGTAAACATGACAATCAGGCAAAGATTATCTATACGACGACATGTATATTGGCAGATGAAAAATTATTAAACCTTGAAGTCTATCATAGGACAGTGATAATTATATTAAAATTGGCTTCAATCAAAAACAATAGGGATTATCTAGTGTAATTGTCTATAGGGAATTAATTTTTCTACAAAATTTAAAAGAAAAATCTTTTTTGTTTTTCATCATTAAATAGTGTTGCCAGAAGAACTCGTTGTTTGGTCGAACTTTTTTCTCAACAATGTTTAGCTTCTAATAATGATCGATTAAAAACAATTAAAGGTCATAATCTAGCATAGAGTTCATAATTTTACATTATAATAGCAAATAATTCTCTTGAAACACTCGCTAAACAATGATCAAAATGCCGCTGATATTCCGATGACTTTCATGAATAATAGCTTTTTTTTTATCGAACAAGAGATACACACATAGATATGACAGATCAATTGATGAAAAATATGTTAGACGATTTGCTTTTTTTGTATTCTTATCATACGATAGAAATTAATTAATGCTTCCATTTCGGAATAATGGGAAAAGTCGCAGATGAGAAATTATCATACTGCCATCAGTACTCATCTCATATTTTAGTCGACAACAGCTATCTGTCTATTCATCTCTCATGTTTTAAATATCATCCAAGAAATCAAATCCATTTTTGTGTGTAATTATTGTATTTTTTTTTTGTCAACACGGCCTTGCTAGATGTTTGTCTTCGTACTTCTCAACTAATTAGTCGTACATGAATGAATGCTGTCTGTATTATGATAGATTGACTTTGTCATTGCTCCTATCAATGCATCGAATGCAATTCAATGGAACTTTTTTCCAAAAATCTAAGCAGAAAAAATTGTTTTCGCAGATAGAAATTTCATAAAAATTGAGTACGGATGGTACGATCGTACTTTTACTCGGTGAATCGAACAATTCGAGTATCCTATCAGAAGCCAAGATTTTTATGAAGAAACACTTTTCTGACGTTGATTCAAAAACTGGGTGTGAATCAAACTAGTGACCTCAAAACGTAAAATACACCATAGTTCTGTTGTCCATTGTACATTGAGCACAGCAAAACTTTGATGTCTATTATAAAATATTATTTCGAACAGAAAATTCTCTCAATCATTCAAATAGGTGGGTAGTTCACCGTTGTCTCTTAAATAAAGCAACGTGAAGTGATACTTGAATAATCTGAGTGAACAATAAAAGCTCCATCTTTTTCTCGCTGTTCTTGTCTAAGAGGTTTTTTCCTCTGTAATGGATACTAATGAACAATTAAATTCGAATTGCGGATAAATTTCAATGTTATGTTTACATATATTTCACAGTAAACGCAGAAAAAACTACAAACGACGTAGTCATGGGTTTTTCTTCAATAACAAAGAGTAAATCTAAATGATATAACTAGTAAGCTTAATCATATAAAGTACAGAAAAGCTATTAAGAAAAAAAGAAAGTTTTGTTTTTGCAAAGAAGTAACACTATTACAACACCATGGCACCAAACGTCTGCTAGAATAAGAAAAAAAATGCAAGAAGTTTCTTTTTTAATATTGGATAAATTTAGTTTGTGATCATTCAAACATTAGGAACTAGTAAACGACGAATAATCTACAAATAGAAATTTTATTATTATCGTTTTCTTTTCTCAATAAATTAACCTACCGGATCATTTTTACATCCAGCAATGAACTAAACAGAAAAAGATTCTTAATTATGGTAAAATCCTTGTTTGTTTGAGCTTACTTCTTCTTTCGTTAATTTCTTGTTTCCAGTAACATCACATATACGAATAATTTCTTCAGCACGATGCTTTGGATCATGATCACCTTAGAAATAAAAGTATTTTGCTTTTTATTTTACACATTCGAAATCTAAATCTTACCTTTACGATTGGTTTCTCCAGTAAGATCGTACATAGCCTGGAGAATAAGAATTTATAATCATTAGAACAATTTTAACTCATTATATAAACTTACAGAGATAACTTTAGTCAGTTCGGTTGTATCGACTATATTAGTTTAAAGCGAAAACAAACAATTGACATAAGAAATATTTCAATTTCAACTTTACTTGTTCCCGTATTATTGTAATCATACATATCAAATGCAAGAGCAAGACGCTCATCAAGATCCCCCGATTGTGTCATTGCAATAGCAAGCATGAATTCGGTGAAATCAACTATACGCATGGCGAAAACAAAAGTACAACTTTTTTCTCTATTCTACATAAACAATATATGTGTATATTTACTTGTTCCATTATTATCACGATCGAATGTGGCAAAAGCATATTTACAAAATTCTTTAGCTTTACCGCCTGGATAAAATTGTTCGTAAACAGAAATAAATCGATCTTTTGTCAGATGTCCAGTTGGGCTAAAATTTGAAAAAGAACAGGGGTATGCTCGTTTTCTTCTTCTATTTTCTAAATTAATTACCAATCACGTATGAAACCAGCATGCCATTCACGAATTTGTTCTTCACTGAAATGTGTATTAGCTTTCAGCATTTGTATAGCTTTCGGTGTGAGAATTGTACTAAATAACCGGGAATAAACACGGTAGAGGATAATAAGAAAAACGCAGAGCTTACGAATCAACTTTGCTTGAGTTTTTGTTACCCATGGTTGAATTGAATAGTTGGAGAAAGAAAAAATATGAGTCTAAAATAGACGATTGAAAAAGTGAGTGTGCATAGTGTTTTTCGGGCAACATTTATGGAACGACGATGTATATAATTAGAACAAGAAACAAGATAAAAATCAGACATAACTGTGCATACTCTTCTCTATATTTCTCTTTTCCTCTCTTTCTCTCGTTCTCTTTTTCTCTTTTTCGTTAACAATACCCAGAGAACCGCAGTTAGATCGGCGAGAAAAGAAGACTTTCTTTTTGAATGCGCTGTTTATTAGCAAAAGGAAAGGCAAAATGTCAATAGGCACAACATTATGGTGCTAATAAAAAAAAAGAATGATGTTGATTTGACGAGGTGGCTCTTCTCCTTTCTGAATGGATCTTTTATATGTGAGCACTTTCTATATCGCTTCTACCTATCAAGTGTTATTAAATAAAATATTTAAAAAAAACGGCTATCAACTAAAAAAATACCTTACCAATACTTTCGAGCATCACAGAAACCGAAGAGTATGATCACGCGTTCAATGAAAGCGTACTCACGATCTGAATTGCACAAGAACAGAAATAATGGGACTACTATTAACAGTCGCCATTTTGTTTTTGCTATTTTATAACATAAAACACATATGTGTATGGATTATTAGCTGTTATTTTATCATGCATGCATCCTTCGAACTCAACACTGTCGAGTTTGTTTTTGTTGTTTATGAATAAAGGAGTAATCGGTAAGAGAAACTACTTAAGATTAGGTTGCTCAGTAAGAGTTCGATCAGTCCTTGAGTTCAATTAAAGTTGGTGCAAATTCCGCATGTGACACATTTCAAAGCAGATGTCTAATCGAATGTTATCCATCAATCAAGTGATAAGAGCAGAAAAAGAAACACATTTACATTGAGAACATTCAAAAAATGGCAATTTTATTGTAGATCTGGATTGACGGAACTAATTACACCATTGTGGATTTTATAAAGAGAAAAAAAGCTGTTATTTTATCAGAAAACGAAATAATCAATAAAAGAAAGGAGATCTTTGTTGAAAAATTCTGATGGAATTTAGGGGTGTCCCGTGATAAAACAATGAGCCTACTTTAATGCCACTAAGCTGATCGTGGTGGCATGCAACTATTAAGAGTAATTTGCATCTACGACAACAATTGATTCGATATAAATACAATTGAGTTCTCCTTGATAGTTTCCTTTGTTTGTTGATAGTTCGGTACAGAAAAAACAAACACTATCACTCATCGATGATTATTAACTAATTTTTTGATTTAGAATTCGTTTTTCCTATACTTTTCAGTAGAATACATCTTATCAGTCTTCGTTTTCTGCAGACAAAACACGTCAATTGAATAAGAAAAAAATTTATATTTTATTCTTTCAAGCAAAAATGACTTTTGCTTGAACTATTTTTTTAATACAACTCAGAATCATTGTTGCCTACAAATAACTACCACGGGAACATGTCAGTGTTGAGAAGCAGCTAAAATAATTAAATTTGAATGAGTTCAGCTGTACTACAAGATTATTTAATAAAATAAAAATTGGAATAGATTCTACAGAGACAATTTCATTAATGAGCAGTGAGAATTTGCAGCGTAAAACTACCTGTATGTTTAAAATTAGGATTTTGTCTGAAATGATAAATATATATGGTATGAACGGAAAAAGTCTATACTCATCGGCGGATTCTAGAGTCTCAGCAGTAGTCTTTTTTTCTGTCGCTATACCGACTTGAATTTTTCAAGAAAAACTAATTTCACTCATTATTATCAGCATATTTGAACGTGACCATAGGCATAAAAAATGCTCTTTTAATTCAAGGAGAAGTTAAGAAAATCTATCCTGAACATTAGAAAAAAAAGAGATCCTTTTTGATAGAGTCACAATAATGATTAGATAAAGATATCCTAAGATTATTGAGTTTTGTTTAAAACGTCGTTAACAAGGTCATTAGAGATGAATTTCATAGTATGTGGTCTGACTTGAAATTGCTGAGATTTTGTCGTAGGAGGTTAAAAGAAGCTGCAACCATTTTATTGTTTTACATTAACAATTTGACTAATGATTTTGCGCTTCATGAGGCTGAAAAGAAATAATAGTTTTTTTTAAATGCATATTGCTTTTAAAGAACTGACGCCAAAGCAAAAACTTTTCTAAGTAATCGAAAGTGGTTATGCCGGTGCAAAAGTAATTGAACTCATTCTACCGTGTTCCAACGCTCTTTAGTTATCATTGGTTCATGTTCATTTACAGAAAAACAAGAGAAGGAGTAGATTTTTTCCAATAAATTTTGATAAACAAATGACAGAGTGTTAACTTTGTGCAATGTAGGAAAATGTAAATCAAACCACCTCACACTATAGTTTGTGGATTTTAACAAAAATGTGTTTTCAGTTTATTTAAATCGATTCTCTAGGCACTACGTGGCGGGAAATAGTTTTTTTTTGTAAAATTAAGGATAAAAACAAAACCACTGATATTATTCATAAAGATTTCATAGAAAATCACTTCAGCATTGTGAGTTAAGTTCCTATAGCCTGGGAATGAGTAAATGTAAAAATCGAAGACTTTTCAACTTTTGTAAACGCTCAGTCAGTGATTCAAAAATACACCTACTTATGAAACATTCAAGATATTCGCGTCATGGAGCGGTTAGATTTAGGTCATAAAAAAACGTCAACATTCGATTTGATATATCTTTCTCTTTTCCGTCTCTAAGTGAGAAACCATAATTGCAAACTTAGATTTCTACGTTGTTTTGTCAGTTGTTCTACTTTTCTGTTTATTTGATTCATTAGAATATCTCGACATTTCATTAACAAAAAAAAACTCATTATATGTTTAAGTTCTGTTTTAAAAAAGTCATTTTCTTATGGTTACTTTTTATTTATACATGGAAATGGGCAAAATTATTTAGACATGTTCCGGTTTTCAATCTCGTCTATTTCCTTTTTTTCATATAAGAAGAAAAGGTGAATACGTATTCAAATTTTATTGCAAAACAAAAAAAAAAGAATAATGATTTACATGTAACCTAAAAATAGATTATTTTTTTCACGATTGTATGGCTTGTGTAACTTCTTTGTCTTTATAACATATCATATTCCTAGAGTGAACAGCAAATAAATCAAAAACAAGAACAAACAAAGAAAAAAACTAAAATTACATACCACTATCAACAGTACTATGTCGCCGCCTAAAAATAGTACAAAAAAAAGTCAATTCTCCGTTGTCAAGTGTTTATTTCTTATACTTTACATCATTTTGGGCTAGTTGAGAAGCAGATGTATTTCCAGTTGGTGTTTTTCCACTTGCAATTAATGTTAATGTATCAATCGGTTGACCAAGCACGCCAATTCTTAAAAGATCATTTCATGGAACAATTCATCTAAAAAGAAAAACGACTAGACTTACTCATATCGAATTTTAAATTTGTTTTCAGGCAGTAGTTTAGGCAGTTTTGCAGCTCTATTTATAAAATCAACGTTGGCCAATGAGGAAAATTTATAATGTTAGAAACATACTGATCACTTTTACCACGAACTCGATCAAACAGCCACGCACTTTGATCGCGCGCAGTCGGAAGTAGAGTAACAACAATAGGTGATCGTTGTCTGTAAGAAGAAGAAAAGAAAAACAGTTTGTTTTTAATTCAATTCAGTAACAAAAACAATGATTTAACTAACGTTAATAATCTTTGAAAAGGTTGTCGTTTTGTTCCACTTTTACTACTGGTACCTGTAGAAAAATAAATTTTCTTATTCCATGAAGATTCGAATCATCGATTCAATTTACTTGAAGTATGACTCATAGTCGTCGATGCTGTTGCTACTGTTTTTTGTGAACGCGTACTTTTTTTACTTGCGGCAGTATTCTTTCGATCTGAATACGTCGATGCATTCTCACCATTTCCACCTGTAGTAAAATCGCTTGTTGTTGATCGTGATGACCTTGATGATCGGGTTCGAATTTGAATTGCTATAAATATTACATCGATATATTTTCTATTCGGCAGATAGAAACTTAACGGTGCCTTCTGTAAACCTTTCAAGAATTCTGATTGTATTCAGAGAATTAAAATAAGTCTAGAAAACATTCTAACTACTATGTCAATTGAGATTGAAATGAACAGCAGCATGTTCAATGATACTACGAATAAATTCTCTATTTTGGTTAGACAGCAGAATCCTGAGATGATTTAATTAATTATAACATGCGGGACAGTTGTTTTTGTTTTTCTTTGGAGAACTTACATTTCGACACACAGATCTGCATGTGCAGATAGAAACTGAGCACTCTACAAACGAGAAAAGGTTGCCGGGAAAAACTAGAGCAAACTCTCTAATCACCAGGCTATGAAGTTAGTTTCAACCAAAAACAGCACTCTAAAAATGAATAGACACGTACTTGAATAAGTTGGATTTGGAAAAGCATCCGTTCGAATGATTCTATAAAATATCGAGTAGGCAATCACAAATTATTTCTTTTTTTTTTCTTACCGTCCGATTTCTTCCCGAATAACTTCGAAATATTTTCTTTCAAATGTAATCCATACAACAAATGTAGCAAATATTATTAATAACTAAATATTATTATTAGTCGAAAAAAATTGACTTTTATTGTTTAACTTACTTCAGCATTACCACGGTCAATTAATGTTCGTGATACACGGCCACTATATGGAATGATCTCTCGCTTCTTTGTTAATGGATCACCATCATTGCCTTCGATCCAATAGAAATGATGATATTGTTTAAGACCAGTTCCCAGAACAACGTTACTATATTTTTGTGCAACAAATACAAGAGCCGTATTCATGTGACATTCAGCATTAGATATGCGAGTCGTTTCTTCATGATTAAATTGTCTAAATTTATTTTGAAAAAACGAAAATGAGCAATTCCTTTTTTCTATTAATTTATTTGCAAATCCTACGTACACACATAATGGATTTGTCATGACTTGTGACTCTTTGTATTCAAAATACCAATGAAAATAATTGATTAAATGCAGAAAAAAATCTTCGAGTTCAGACTGTCTTTTGGTTTCATAAATAAAATAATGGCATTATTGAGAGCATACATATTTTTGAAGCGATATAAGAAAAAAAGAAATGTCAAACTGCAATTCATCTTTTTTTAATGAGAAAAAAGTAACATTATAGCATGAATTTTTATTTGTCCAAAATGCATTAGTTGATATGTCAATATATCTAAATTTACATATAATCAATCTTGATTATATTTTGTCTGAAATTCAACATTTTTCAGGCGTCTCTGGGTTTATCTCTAGGCGTTCTGTAAACATCAAACGAATGGTCAAGCCGAGAAATCAGCCTAACAGCGATGATCAACTCAGAGTTAGGGTTAAATGTTCACAAATAATGACTTTCTTTTTATTAAGTCAAAATCTATGACATGCTGTCGAAGCGATTTGCTCAAGAATTGGAACGAATTCAATAGATCTGTAAAACATGAATCCTAAAAAGCTTTTCAATATACTCTTGTTTTTCTTCTAATCAAACTATAAAATACATACTTGACAAACTCAGCAAATTTTTCTGGAACATAATAGGTATCACTGACCATGTTTAATGAAATATCTTTCAAAGAAAAGATAGGTAGTAAGACGATTCATTCATATTTACTTAACTTACGAACAATATCTTCGATTGCTATAGTTGTTTTATTTTTGGATATTTCTAATGGATATTTTTCGTAAGCCATCGGACGTCGTGCAGGAGATAAATTCCAAAGATCGATTTTTTCGGAAGATGTCTCAGCATTTATATCAGCTTTCTCAGCAGTCACAGCTCTGTCGTGAACTAATGTATTTGTTACATCATCCCAACGCCACAGAGATTGAGGATTAGAATATTTTCCTGCTGTCTGAATAGGCGAAATATGTGTATGGAAATGAAAAAGTTGACATTACTCCTTTTTCCTTACCTCCATTGAAGTATATGATTAGCGATAAAACATATTATTCAGATATGCGAACACGTAAATTTTTACTATATTCACACACTACTTCATTTTTGATTCTGTTGTCAACGTTACCAGAAATAAGTCATTCTAAAAGAACTACAATAAACGCTTCATGCTTATAAATTTTGACTGAAAACATTTGATTTTCTCGAGCGTTTTACTTTAATTTACAAGTTAAAATATTTTTCAAACAACAGGAATAAGATGTCGCATGTTGTCGAATTCAAAAACTTTCACTGGTATTACAGTTTTCATTGTGACGGCATCATAACATCTGATCCTACATATGCGATATAGATCAACATGGTTGTTCTACCTTCTTTGTCTGCAAAAATTAGTTTTTAGTGCAAACAGCGGAAATCAAAAAAAGAAGTGTGAGTGAGTACTATTCTCATTATTTTTCTTAGAATTACAGCAGAGAGTATTGAGCCAAAGCTTTGTAGATCTCCGATTCATAGGTCGAATAAATATCTGATGATTGAAAATTCAGTACTTTCGTTTCGAGAAATAATAGATAGAAAATGCACTTGTACTATACCATTCGATGAACTTTTATCTCTTCGTTCTAAAAGTGAAAAATTCATCTCACGATCGTTTTCTATATGAAATAACCAACATATCAGGACCCACTCTTGCATGTTTGTAACGAATCCGTTTAGATAATTACAGCAGCCAAATCGAATTACTGAGATGATAACAGCTGATAACGATGGAAAACTTCAACGACCTATTCGACATTTTTTTTTTCATTCTACATAATTCTTTTCCGCATTTTTCTATTTGGTATTTTGCTCTTTACTTGCCACTAATCCAAAACCTACGTATTGATTAACATCAACAATGTCTAAATTTTGATAACCACATTCATTGAGATTTTTCCATTCATACTTTCCGAATCAAATTTTGAAATCTTAACTTTCATCTCAAATAACAATAGCAATAAATTTCCAAATGCCAGTCAAGTTGTGTTTCTTCTCATACAGTTATATGAGATACAGGCGAGTTATGAGGCAATTATTATACGAGAGAATTTATGCCAATAACTAGAACAACAAAAACAGAACTGTCAATAATCGATGAAAAACGTACACAGTCGATCTAAGTCAATGATAATAATATTTTTACGATGTACAACAATGTCTTACATAATTTCCTATGATATACAATGATAATTAAAAATACAACTAAATACCATTCACTATATTCTTACACGATCAAGTGTTAATACAATATGAGCACTAGAAAAACAAGAACGTAACAATTGATGCTTCAAACTATCGAAGTCATTAGTCAAATCACTTAAAATAAATTCAAATCAATGTAACAACTCATTGTATATTCATTTTCATACTTGCAATGCATTTCTCGTTTTGTTTCATGTTTTCATATAAATAAATCTTCATGAAATTTGTTTCTTTTTTCTTGTGAATAATAAAACTGATTTTTATCAAAGTAGAAGTTCTCATCTTCTTCTTTTTTTTTTGTTTATTTCCATGCATATGTTAAGAACATTTTGTTTTTCTCATAACCGGAAAAGATTGTCTCAACAATGCGAGAAGATGATACACAGCAGGAGCAGACAAGAAAAGAAGTAGAAGAAAAAAAAAGGAAATTAGCTAGTCCATCGACATATAATAAAAGATATCTTCCAATCATCAACGAGTATTAACATAGAGAATAACCAATATCACTGCATCCTTTTTCTTCCCCCCTCTCTCTCTCTCTCTCTCTATTCTACTTTTTGAGGGAGAGAAAAAAACGATAAAAGATAACCTAAATGAGAAGGGGCAAAAGACGCGCTTTCTATTCGAGACGCTAATTCTTCTTCTACCCACAGTATACATGTATGACGAGCTCGCATTATGATTGATGAGTATAATTGACGTTAGTAGATGATATGCACCAGGCGTGCACATCCGTACATATATCTACGTCGAAATAACTCTACATCTTTGAGAGAATTAAAATTTCACGTGTGCATATGTCAAGATTGATTAAAAAAATTTTCTTATTTTATTCACTCTTTTGTTTCGTTTAGATATAATTATCGCATGTCTGCTCATGATAATATGATGACGACGAATTCAACAAATTTTTATTATCAACAATATCATCCTTCGCAAGCATCATTATTACAGCCAACAACTAACAATACGGACTTTAATAAACTCGATAAAGATCTGATATACAAGTAAAACGAGGCGAAAGAAATTGTTGCTTATTGAACAAAACAAAAAAAAACGCTTTCTTTATAGTCATCCACTTTTTCCTTTACTTGCTATTGTATTTGATAAATGTGAACTGGCAACAAATTCTCCTCGTGATGCTAACAATCCAAATTATGCTTGTTCACTTGCATCACTTAATGAAGATGTTGTTGCATTTACAAAACAAGTATATTTTCGAGTATTTCCTCTATTAATATTTAATCACTTTTTTATAGTTAACTAAAGATCATGTACTCTGCCAGACATCAAATGCTGAAGTTGATAATCTTGTATGTATTGTTTATTTACATAACATTGAATACACGGAAAATAGCTAGCTACTACTTTTCGCTTCTTCTTCTTCTTAAGATGATACAAGCAATACAAGTTTTAAGAATTCATTTACTCGAATTGGAAAAAGTCCATGAATTGTGCGATAATTTTTGTCAACGTTATATTCATCTATTAAAAGGGAAAATGCCTATGTAAGTTAATTTTTTAAAAACGGAATGGAATGCATACATACTCTTGTGCTTTTATCTTTTAAGGGACATTATTATGGATGATCGCGATTTAAGTTTTTCAAAATCTGAAGATGAACAAAGTGAAATGAGTAATCATGATTATGAACAAGATATCAAACCGGTAATTTATTGATTTTAAGTGAACTTCAATAAACTATTTTGTTTTATCTAAGTCTACCCAGACAAAAAAAGACGCTTCCTGTTGTACGAGAAATATCCTAGTAATTATAGTTAGTAAATGTGTTTTGTTTTGAAGTGTGTACTTTCTTTTCTCTCTTTCTCTCTCATTCATCAATAGTATGAAACTAAAGGTGTTAAGAAAGGGAGGAAAGGTCCTGATCTAAAAAAACATTTCCTCAAGCGTTTTTCTTATGAACACAAAAAAAGAGTTTGTCAACCACACAAAATACAATTAACCTTTTGAGTCATCTGTTCTCGTACAAATACTGACAAACTTAGGTCACACTAGACAAAATGTTCGAGTAGATTAATTCCGTCATCCTCCGTGCACTTTAGAAATTATATCTGAAATTTTTGAAAAAATAGTTTTTCTCATTTATTCTCCGCTAATCTCTTTGTGTCTGTATTCGAAGGAAATTTAGGTAGCTAATCTCTCGATTATCTTACTATAATAGAAAAGCATAATGATATTTCTCTAGATAGTATTGTACATTTTTCTAATGGTACGATGATATTATCTTGTAGCAAAAGTTAGATTCTTTTTGTGCATATATTCGGACATATTTTTTTTATCAAAAAAGAAAAACGAAGGTTGCAACAATCATTATCCATGAGAATAAATGATAACCTATGCTAGGATAGATTCGATTAAATCATATATAGTTGCGGTTCGATGATTTTTTAGAAAAAGAAAAAGAAAGATGTCAATAAAAGATAAATCTAATCTATATATTTTATTCAGGTGCGTTCATTGTCTCAAACATCAACAAATGATCATAATCAAACATTAAAATCAAATTCGGATTCATCAGAATCACGAAGTCCAACTCAACATCACCATCACCAGCAGCAGCAGCAGCAGCAGCAACAACAACAACAACAGCAACAATTCTTATCTATTCAACAAACTAATAATTATACGCCATCATCAACAATTCAATATTCTCATCAATCAATAGATGAAACAGATAAAAGTAGTGAGAATTTTGAAAGTTCAATCGAAGGTGATTATTATGAAGAAAACGATGATAATAATAAACGTCGTCAAAAAAAACGAGGCATTTTCCCTAAAGCAGCAACATCATTGATGCGTGCATGGTTATTTCAACACTTAAATGTAAAATTTTATTTTGATCAAAAAATTCTTATAATTATTTTGGTAATCCTTTTAGCATCCGTATCCATCTGAAGAACAGAAAAAGATTCTTGCTCGTGAAACTAATCTTAATATTTTACAAGTGAATAATTGGTACGTTCTTTTCTTTTTGTTTTTGAACGTTTTACTTGAATAATCTTCAGCATTTCCTGCTATGAATCCGAAGTGTCGTAATCGTTTGGGTTAATCAATTCACACCGTTCCGTTCCATCTCATCAATTGTTCGTGACGAACCGTGTTAAAAACAGTTAACGCTGCGGAAATTTTTTTTTCAATCATGCAGCTGTGCTTGATCTATATACATATATACATACACACACAACGGTCATTAGGATTGTTCTTCTTTCGCAAGGAGATGATGCTTAGAGTCATTAATCATTTTTGTTTTGTTCTTCCATGTTGTAAACATAGTGTTGACAGGTAGAAAAGTCTGTTTGACGGATTACGATAAAAGAAAGGAATGCAGCTGTTTTAGCTATTTTCAGTTGAATATCATTTTTCTTTTTCCTTTTTTTGTTAAAGGTTTATTAATGCTCGAAGAAGAATCGTGCAGCCAATGATTGATCAATCAAATCGAACTGGTAAGTTATCAAGAAAAACAGATAGAGAATTAACGGAATTTCTTCTTCTTTTAAAGCACTCACACAAAAAGGTTTGTCTTTACGGAATAAAAATTAAGACTCAGCATGATGCGCATGAATACTATAGTTTTTTTCTTGTTTAGTAATAAAAGGAAAAAATTGAAAATAGCATGACTCTAGAAATCTATGGATTTGAAGATTGTAAAGAAATAGATTTAAAAATATGAATCAATTCTGTTATGTTAGCTAGAGATTAGTCGCTGAAAGTTCGCCATTCGAATGCTTGTCAAAGTAAATGTGTGATATCACTTATCTTTGTCTGTAGTTATATATAGTAGTCGTATATACTGAATTATTTAGTCTGCTAATATCCAAGAAGAACATCAATGAAAGATTAGGACAGTTCATTTATGTCTAAAAGACACTTCCGACTATGCATGAATATTTTATAAATAATCTTGAAATTAAATTTAGTTACGCTTAATTTTACTTTCTTTTTCTTTCATATGTGTAGTAATAGGACCGGACTATAATGATTTAATGACAGCAAATCCTTATCATACATTTGATCCAAGTCGAGCATCATATGGATTTCAACCAAGTAAATTTACCTGAAATTTTTCTTTTTCAATTTTAATAATATTTCATATTAAGACCTCTATGACGAAATGACACCGCCACCAGCTTATTGTCCGCCATCAATGTCTCATTCATCAGCGTATCCATCGATGCATCCAAATTCGTTTTTTGCAGCTGCAGCAGCCGCAGCGGTTGCTGCGGTTAGTAATAATTCAACATCTTTACAGCATGGTATATCTCCATCATCATCTTATCATGGACAAGCTAACGGCGAATAGGAAAGAACACGTTTTTTTTTGTCTCATTTTTGTTCTAGTGTGCATATATGTTTATTATTGGTGTTTCATTCTTTTGTTTCGGTTAAAGTTTCAAAAAAAAATATATTATATACTGTGATGAATGAATTACTTCCATTTCTTTGCTAGAAGTTATTGATTTTTTGCTAGAACAAAACAACGAAAGCGGCAGTGTTAGTAGTTTCTTACTATTCTTTTGAATTTTTATCATTCGATTAAGAATAAGAATGTGTTAGTATTCAAGGTGAAACAAAACCCGAACGACAAAAGCAAATAACAGAAGACGCTCTGTATGTCATGTAATGGATAGGTGAAGTAAAAAGAACGAAGAGGCAAACAGAATACAAAAACAAAACAAGAAAAAAAGGCTTTTGAAAAACATTTTCATTCGGTGCTCCATTATATTCGATATTCGTAGCTGAAGGTTAAAGGGTTGCTATTAATCTACGAAATAGATTGATAAAAATAATAATATTCGTCACGGGTTTTGTTTATGGTTAGATATTTCTATAAAAGCAAGACAAATAACTTAATGCAGTTTGGTTTCCTCGAATAGTAGATATTTAAAATAATGGCAAAGCTGATCATTGATCAAGCTCTATTCCTTATCAATTCCGGTGCACGTGTTTTTGTACAGGGTAAGGGGAATAGAATTTTGATAGAAGAAAAATGTAAAAAACGAAGTCAAAAATTAAAAATTCTGTTATGGATTACTGATTGATTGATTAATCGAAAAAACGATAAATTTCTACTGAGCACGTTCACTATTTATGATAGGAAATATTTATTGTTTTTGCTTGTTCAGTAGGCCCATTCATAAGTAAGAATTAAACAAACCATTAAAATGTAAATCATCATCATCATTAACAGAAATTAATCTTACATATTGATCACATCCTGGATATGTGCTCAGTTTGAACTGAATTAAGGACATCTAGATTAAGTTAGAATACAAGTAGTCTCATGAGAGTCTATCATGTATTTCAGTGGAATGAAATATACAGTAAATGAGATATTATTATTTAATTTTTGCTTCTTCTTCTATTCTTAGGATGTGGTGGTAGTCCACGATATCTTAATCGGCTTTTAGCTAATCGTGCTGGTGACCTTCGACATGTGGAAATCATAAGTCTTAATGCACTTGATGATACATTTACAAATCCAGAATTAAAAGATAGTTTTTTTGTTAATAGTCTTTTTGCATCTTCTTTCGTTCGTTCGTCGATTGCTAATGGTTCTGGATCGTATATTCCAACATTACTCAGTGAAATGCCACGTCTTTTCAATGAAAATATTCTTCCACTGGATGCTGCTCTTATTCAAGTTTCACCTCCAGATAAACATGGCTATTGTTCATTGGGTATTTCAGTCGAAGTAACACAAGCAGCAATACGAAATGCTAAACACGTCTTCGCTCAAATCAATCGAAATATGCCACGTGTACATGGTGATACATTTGTACATATGAATGATATTGATTCTTTTGTTGAATATGATGAACCATTAATTGAATTGAATTATTCTGAAGAAAAAACTCAAATAGAATTAAATATTGGCAAAAAAGTTGCTGAATTAATTGAAGATCAGAGTACACGTAAGTGTTTATTTAAATTAATTAACAAAAATATTTGCGAAAAATCGTATGAATTAATAAAAAGAAAATGTTCCCAATCGTCTAAGGAGTCCTTATATTCACTACTAAACTATAAATAAAAGTTTCTATAAAAAACTTTATTTTCAAACGTTAATTAGTAAGAATGTAACTGATGGATTCTATTTATGTTTCTTTTTTTATAGTTCAAGTGGGTATCGGTCCTATTCCAGATTCTATCTTAATGTTTCTTAATAATCATAAAGATCTAAGTATAGCAACAGAGATGTTATCCGATGGTGTTATACCATTATTAGAAAAAGGTGTTATTACAAATCGATATAAAAAATTTCATCCTGGTAAAACAACATGTACATTTATATTGGGAACAAAAAAATTATATGATTTTGTCGATGATAATCCTACTGTTCTTGCAATGGATGCTTCTATAACAAATGATCCAGCTCAAATACGTCAAAATCCACGAACATGTGCAATTACTTCTGCATTAGAAATCGATCTTACTGGACAAATTTGTTCAGATTCATTAGGAACAATACAATATTCTGGTGTTGGTGGTCAAATGGATTTTATGCGCGGTGCTGCTTTGAGTAAATATGGAAAACCAATCATTGTCCTACCATCGCAAACATCGAAAGGTGTTTCACGAATTGTGAATACGGTAAAATTTGATTTATTTATTTAATTACATAAAACTAAATAGCAGTTTTATAGTTAAAAGAAGGTGCTGGTGTAACAGCGACACGAGCTCATGTCCATTATGTAGCTACTGAATATGGTGTTGTTAATTTATTTGGTAAAAACTATCAACAACGAGCTAAAAAATTGATTGAAATAGCGCATCCAAATCATCGTGAAGCATTGGAACGTGCTGCATATAAGCGATTTAAAGCTTTATATTGAATTTTTTGTGAACGTGAAATTCGGCGATTCATTCATTTTTTTTACCCAAGCCAAGAAAAAGATTGATATGATAGAACGATCTCATTTTATTTATCAAGTAGAGAAATAAAAGTTAATCAAGCTTTCAACTGATTCATTTTCGTTTTCATTAAAAAGTCTCATTTCCATGTCTAACACTGGGATGAATTATATTTGAATTCTGTCGCATCTAAATTATTTCTCAACTATGTGAATAAGTTCATGAAGCAAATGACAGTGTCTTTGAATAATTCCCCATGTTGCGAATACCGGATCAATTTTTGCGGTAAACCGCGGTATTTATCCGTTTTGCGGTAATGGGAGCCGGTAACCGGACCGGTAAAACCGCGGTAAACCGGCGGTTTTTTGCGCATGTTTATCACATGTGAAAGTAAAAAAAAGGATCTTTAAAATAGTTTAATTGATGATTCGGAAGACTTTTTCTGTCAAAAATTATAGATAAACCGGTTAACCGCTTTTTTTAGCGGTAACCGCGGTATTAATCAAAACCGGCGGTTTACCACGGTAAATGCCAGTTCATTTTTTGTGGTAAACCGCGGTATTTATCCGTTCTGCGGTAATGAGAGCCAGTAAACGGACCGGTAAAACCGCGGTTAACAGCCGATTTTCATGCGGTTTTTATTACATGGGTCGCTTAAATCTAAATTGCACTATAATAAATAAGATATGATCGGTTCTTGCTCAAAGTAGAATAATAGTAAAATGAGATTACTATCGAAATGAGCTAAACTTAAAAAGAAGAGCCAGCATATTTTCGTGCAAAGCCCAAAAAGAGTTAAATTTTAAATACTTAGATAGATAGATTTTTCTTTTCATAAGTTGTTTTTGTTCGGCTTTATTCGCGTGTGATTGATATGTGGCGTTTCGTAGTGGCTCCATCTATTCATTTTCAAATCATGACAATTATTTAAAATCGTTTTTTTAAAAGTGAATAGTAATAATAAATGATATCATAATTTTGATTTTTCTATTCATCAGATTTATATCAGTAAACATATTTTATTCAATGCCTTGTTCTAAACGAACAAAGACCGGCAACAGAATTGGTTCATAAGGATATCTCTCTTCGGTGTTTGTGTGTACTCATTCAAGTATCTCAAAGACGTTGACTGTAATTATTCGTAAAAATGACAAAACCGACGATTGCTGAATTACAACATGAATTTGACAAACGTTCAAAACGATATACTGGAATCAATGAAGTATCTGATCTTTGGTTACCGTACGTAAAAGCCTTTTTTTCTATCTAAACTCGATTTTTCAAAATTACTTCTCTTCTATAGTTTCTTAGCTGCCATACAAGATACATTGCCGGATGATGATAATGGCGAAAATACATTAGCTAATAACCAAATTCTATATCCGATATGTATAAGATGCCTTCAAAAATTTGAAAATGATTCAGAACAAATCAACAATAAAGATTTTGCGGAAATTTGTCTTTTAATTGTAAGTTTTCCTTTGTATAATTTCTTAGCTGATGTAAGATTATCTTATTTTCTAGCCTGAAATGTCTGTCGATAAAGGATTATGGTATGGATTATTTTATAAAAAACGTATAGGTGTTAAATATGCACATTTATGGATTGATTGGGCTGAATATACTGAAGAAAATGAATTAAACTGGGCTGGTTCATGGGGTATTTATGAAGAAGCAAAAAAATTCGTATCTGATCCAAATGTATGTGCCGAAATTGATGAAGCTTACCAGTTCGTTCGTTTTGAATGTTGTATTTCAATTATAGAATTTTGTTTTTCTTTTCAGAGCTTTTGCATTACGATTTAAAGAATGGGATCAACAAGGTATGTATTGTTCAGTTGGTACTAAAGATAATTTTCAATATTTTATTATTAGAATATACCAAGGAACAGTCAAAAAAGCCACAAAAAAATCGAACGACTGTCACTAAACGAAAAACTCAAACACGTAGTTCATTTGACTTGATGATGGCTACTGAGCCAAAAACCAAACGATCACCTGCACGAGCTCCAATGAAAGTTCAAATGAGTATTGATACAGATGATGATCCTGATTGTCAATTATTACCTGAATGTCGCGAAGCTGTTCGCATTGAATATTCAAGGTAAAATTTGACCATTTAAACACAAAATAATCTACGTTTATTTTCATTATCAGAATGCTTGATATGTCAAACACAAGTTTACTCGGTGGTGAACGTATTAGTTGTATGCCAAGTAATCTTCGACGTGGTTCTGTAGTACCGCCATTAATGAATCTATTCACAATTGATCAAGTACTTCGTCGTCAATCTTATGTACCTGTTGATGACACATTAGATGAAAATTTTCTTAATGTTTCATGTATTGTTGTCGATGATCGCGATCCATTTGATGACCAGATCCGAAGACAAATCCTTGACAAACGTGGCATTAATTATGCATTGATGGAAAATTACTCGGTTGAAAAAACCAATTTACCACCGATTTTAGCAAAAACTAAAATTGGCACGAAAATTGAGACAGTCGAATTAGGTTAGCTGATTCTTTTTTCAGAGGAAAGCAGAATTCATATATTGAGATTTTTTTCAGGTGGAACAACTTATGAGTTTGGAAAAAAATTAGGTGAAGGTGCTTATGGATATGTTATTACAGCACGATTGGAATCAAATCCAAAAGTATCATATGCTTGCAAGGTAATTTTTAAATCTTAAAAGTGCCAATTTGTTCATTCCTTGTGAAAGAATTAATTTTAATTCTGCTATATTCATGATCACGAACAGAATTAAATTTGAATAGCAGATATTTGGTTATCGTCTGTGTTTATTCCTGTACATGTCAATAGACCGAAATATTTTTTTTTGTGTCGGTGAAAATAAAATATTTGTTATTTAGATTCAACATCCACCAACTGTATGGGAATTCTATATACTTACAGAATTATCACGCCGTTCAGTTCGTAAAGCCGGTCAATTTGATCTTGTAAATGATTTCAATTCTTATATGTAATCTCATTTTATATGTACCTTTCATTTCGGGTTCATTAAGAATCAACGTATTCCAAATGTATACCGTCTTATTGAATACAATGACTATAGTGTGATGTTTATGCAACGAGCTCCACAAACTTTGTTGGTATGTAATAACAGTCGAAAAGAACTTCTATGATATGGTTCAGTAGGAATTTCATATTATGAATAAGAGCTCGAGTTGTTGACTTCAGCATGCCATTATAAGAGAATTGATATTGTAAAATATATTTTTATTCTCTTTATAGGATTTTGCTAATTATCACATTAGCCGTGATCGATATGTTCCATTATGTTATCAACTTTATTATTCAATTGAAATGCTACGTATTTTTGATTATATGCATCGATTACGTATTATTCACTGCGATGTAAGTTATTTTTGAAAAAAGCTTTCGTTCAACATTTTTCTTTTGCAACCAGGTTAAACCAGACAATTTTATGGTTCTTCATTGGTAAATATATATATATATATATGTTTTTTTTGTTCGATATGAATATACGGTTTTATATGAAATTTCTAGTCCAACAGCGTTTTCAACGAAAAAAGAAAGTTGTGGACCAATACCCTCATTGATGTTAATTGATTTTAACCGTTCGATCGATTTGAAATTATTTGATAATGGTACAGCATTCGTAACATGTGTACCAAAGAAAGAATTAGCTTGCGTTGAAATGTTACATAATCGTCCATGGATTTTTCAAGTAATTCAATCGAAACATCTATAAGTTTCTTTCTGAGATTTATCATTTTTTTTTCTAGCATGATCTTTTTGGTATGGTGTATTCAATCCATGTACTTGTTTTTCTTAGTTATATGACCGTATGTGAAGATGAACAAAGACAAGACGGTACAATGACAACAAAAGCTAAATTCTCAAAACGCACACATGATATATGGAAAGAATTTTTTCACGAGTTTCTTAATATTCCTGATTGTCAACATTTACCAGATTTGAATGCATGGGCTGATCGATTAGAATTACTATTATTCGAAGAAGCTAAACGTATTAAAGCTAAAGATACTGACTATACAAATATGTTTCGAATAAAACTCGACACACATCTTAATCAATTTCAACCGGCACCACCAGCACCTGCAATTTAAATAATGTTTCCTTTAGAATTCTTTACATATATGAATGTAGCTTATAATATTTTTCTTCTTATACATATACATATATATAGATATATACATACGAATAAAAATAAATAAATAATTAGATTTGCGTACTATTAATGAAAAAAAGAAAGCTTTCTTCGATTGTATTTTTACTCATAAAAAGTTGTGAAAATAGAACTTCTTTTTTATTTCAATACTACTCAGAAGATATCGGAGCTGAGAGAAAGCCGAACGCAAAGTGTTTGCTTTTGAAATTTATGAATTGTTAATATTTAAAACTGCACTAAGGTTTCACATCATTGCTAATTTTTAGTGTTTCGCAAGAAAATAAAAGGACCTATGATAAATCAATATACTCATGTGTATTAACATTAAATACGAAAGCTAAAATCCAGGGCTTCTCGCCAACCACTATTTTGCATGCCATTCCGCTCGTTTTTTTTACAGATAACAATCCACCGATGGCTTACCAATGATAGTGGGAACAAATATACAACACATAATTGTAGATAAAAATCACTTTTTTAAAGTATTCTTAGTAGATTAATAGATGAATATCATCTAGCCTGTATTTTAGTTAAATAGAATTTATTACAAAATATTTAACTTGAAATTAAATTTAGGATATTATTTACATCTAAAAAAAGCTGCACTGCAAAACCGAGTAATAAAAAAGACTAAACACCTTGCAGCTGACACTTTCTCTCATCATGTCTTTTTTTTTCTACGTTGAAGCGAAGAAGCAAGCCATAATATGAAAAATATCATGAAGACAAACAATATTTTACTCATATTAGTGTTCATATTAGGAGTTAATGATTGTGATGCAAAGACGATCACCGAATTTCCACCAATGAGTTTATATATTGGCACAGATGGTGATGGTTTCGGTGCAGGCTCATTGCCATTAGGTGTTCAAAGTCCATATGGTGCTCTTCGTTTAGGTGCTGATACCAGTAATACTTTAAATGTTCCGATTATATTCAATCATCTTGGTGGTTATCATTATTCTGATACTCATATAGATGTCTTTTCACATACGCATATGTTCGGAGCTGGCGTACAGGATTATGGCGAAGTTGGTATCATGCCAACTCAAATAACTAGCACTAAACAATTAGAAGAAATGATTTCGAAACGAAATGGCTATCGTAGTGCGTTTCGACATGAACGTGAAGTTGTCCAACCGGGTTATTACCAAGTTTATCTTGATACACATCAAATAAATGTTGAATTAACAGCTACGGAACAAGTTGGCATACATCGTTATACGTATGATAAGATAAAAAATAAACATCATGCTATACTTATTGATAGTAGTTACACATTACAAGCACGTGCATGCAATCATAGTCAAATTAATATTGATACAACAAATTATGAAATTACGGGATTGATTTTTATCGAAGGATCACTTTCAAAACGTTTTGGCGGTCTAGCAACTTATTTTGTTATTACATTCGATCATGAATGGGCTGATTTCGGTGTTTGGAATGATGGGGAAATCATTGAAAAACAAAATCAAACTAATGGATGCTCATCAGGTGCTTATATTATATTACCTGATGAACACGAACAAATAACAATGTATGTTGGAATTAGCTTTATTTCGATTGATCAAGCACGTACTAATTTACATATGCAAACAAATATATTTCAACCATTTGATTCTCTTCGAACAATAGTACAACAAAAATGGCTCGATGAACTATCGAGATTTGAGGTATGAATTGTTTAATTTTAATTTTTGAGCTGGTTTTCACTATTCTTTCATTTAGGTTAGTGCGGAATGGGATCGTGAAGCTGAAATTAAATTCAATTCAGCTCTTGTTCATTCATTATCAAGTCCAACGCAATGGGACGAATCAAATGGTGCCTATCTTGGATTCGATGGTCAAATTCATACAAAACCCGATTATATGCAACATGTCTATACTGATTTATCCATATGGGATGTATTTCGTACGCAAATTCCATTTATTCTTTTTCACGATTCACAACGAGCAAATGATATAATACATTCTATTATGATTAACGTTGAACAAGGTGGTGATTTACCTAAATGGCCTTTTGCTAATGGTTATACAGGTTGTATGATAGGTTCACATGCTGATATTCTTATAAGTGATTTAATTATGAAAAAAGAACATGATCAACATTTAAATTTAACACAAGTCACACAAGCTTTAAGAAAAGTTGCTAATCAAAATCAAGTACATGACGGCCGATTTGACCCAGCAGCATATATAAAATATCAATATGTTCCTTATGATATGGATCACGATTCTGCATCATTAACATTGAGTTATTCTTACGATGATTGGGCTATAGGAAACGTGATGAATGCTGCTGGCTTAACTGATGAAGCTAAAGAATACTATGAGAGATCAACGTGGTTCGAACATGTGTTTGATAGTGAAACAAAATTTTTTTGTCCAAAAAATACAACAGGAAAATTCTATTGTCCAGAAAATGAAATTGAATTTATTAATCCATTCGATAATAGATATGTCGAAGGCGACGCTTGGCATTATCGATTTTTTGTACCACATAATACATCACGTCTGATTGAATTATTTGGCGGCCGAGATAATTTTATTGAAGAATTAAATTCATTTTTTCAACGTGGACAACCATGGACGTCAACATTATTGCCCAATCCATACTATTGGCCAGGCAATGAACATAATCTATTTTCTGTTTGGCAATTTAACTATGCTAATCGTTCAGATCTTACACAAAAATATGCACGATGGCTGCTGAATCATGCTTATACAATGAAACCGGACGGGTTACCTGGTAACGATGATTATGGAACAATGTCTGCTTGGTATCTATTTACTAGTATGGGTTTTTATCCTCTATCTGGTTCATCAACATATTTAATTGGTAGTCCAGCATTTGATCGTATAAAAATTACAAGAAAAAATACTGAATGCGTTTTATTAATAAACGTTCATAATAATTCTCCAACGAATATTTATGTTGAACGTGTTTTATTGAATGGTGAAATTCTCTTAACATTTCCATTTCTCGATCATATAGATCATTTGAAATGTTCGGATGACAATCAATCAAACATTCAATTAGACTTTTTTATGTCACCAACTCCTGTTTTGTCATATGACAAATAAATCGATTAAAAAAATAACCTCTAACCTGTCGTCAATAAGTTTGACTTCAAAGAATTAACACCGACATGTGTCTCGAGTGATTCAAGATAATTGATGTGGCAATAGAATCAATACAGAGGCTCTTTTTTCTTTGTTTTAACAGAAAAAGGCAACAGTTGGTAAAATATATATGTATCCAACTGAGTAATATATTCGGTGGTCGTCGATGAATATCATTTTCTCTCTCTAAAGAAAGAGAGAGAGAGAGTGCGAGGAGAAAAAGCGAAAGCGAGAGAGAGTATTCTGTTTGTTAGTCTCAATCATTTGATCATATATATAGAGAGAGAGAAACCCAAAAAGAAAAGAATCAATGTTTTATTCGTTGTTTCTTGTTTGTTTACTAATCAGTATTGCGTATACAGATAATAATCAATGTTCAAAGTTAAATAGTAAATTAAATAGATATGGAGTTCATGTGAACATATATGAAGAAGATTTTATTGGTTTGAGATTATGCCAAAATTCAATAAATAATTATTGTTGTCCTCAAAGTTATGAAAATAAAATACAAAATGCAACAACTATCGAACTTTATCAATCATTTGAATTCTATTCAATTAATTTATATGAATCATTACGAAGAATCACTGTTCAATTAAATGGTTAGTAGAACAATAAAAACAAATAGAACTTCAACATCAAGCTTTCGAAATCTATTTTTTCTTCTTCTTCTTCTTCTTTATGTAGAGACAATCGTAAAATTAATTGAATCATCTCGAAATGAAACACATTTTATTTTACAACATAATTATAAAACATTTTACAGTTTCTATCGTTCATCGATTGATTTATTTTTTAATAATTTTTTAATCATAACATATAAAACTTATCCATACGATATTAAAAATAATATTGAAGAACTATTTCGTAACATTCTACGTATAACAATAACAGTAAATAATGGTAATAAACCCATATTACCATCGTATTTATTATGTCTATGGAGAAATCAACCATTTGGTAATCGACAACATTTAATCATTAATCAATTAGAAATTCATTTAGGAAAATTATTTCATTTAAATGAACTATTAAAATTAAGTAATGAACTTGTTCAAACGATGTCAATGGTAAGTTAGTTAGAGTATTTTTGTTTTCAAATAGTGATGATTTGCTGTTAGCAAACAAAGCAGATATCATACAAAGACGCTTAGTGTTGAAATATGATTTAGACGAGTGCCATTCTCTTATCGACACAGTGATAGATCGATCGATCGAATTTAATGAATGTTACAGCGTACTTGAATTTGAGAAGAACTAAAACGTATATCATTATATTTTGTACGAGCGATTATTGTTTTTCGAATCGGAGAAAATTTTCGCTTGTATGAGCAATAAAAAGATCTCATGAGAATGACAGGTTAACTTCTATCGTTATTGCTTTTTTTCTCCGCATTCGTTTAAATTTCAATCGCCTATAATGAGTTTATTTGTCGATAGACGAATATATCCGATTTTGAATAGCAGAATTTTTTCTTTCGATAACAGAAAAACTGTAGATGTTCGCTATAGCAAAAACAACGAGATGAGACACCGTTTATCATTCAAAATTGTATATCGGCTTCACAGTTTTTATTAACCTGTAATTTTCATACTCTACAATTATAAGGTAGGGATGATAAGGATGATAAGTAGTAGGGCACTGACAAAAGTGATTATCGATCAATTGACTTCAAAATAGAATGCACAAGAACGTAAGATATTTCTTTCGATCTATTGGTTTACTCAAATAGATGAAATTTAATCAAACAGACAATATAATCGGTAGCTTCAATTAACTTGACACTATCAGTGAATTGCACTAGTGTGAAAAGAAATTGTATTGACACGTAACTACACCTATTGTTTGAGCAATAATTATCATTTAACCTTTTTTCTTCCTATGATGTTCAACACGATACTACAATATTTGATTCTTTTTAGGATATTACAACAGATAATCATTGCATCGATTCTTATATTCAACTTGCGTATTGTAATTTATGTTCTGGACGAAAAGAATTACCTTGCTTATCAAACTGTATTAATGTGATTGAGAGTTGCCTTATAAATGTTTCGCTTATAAATGATGTATGGATTAATTTTATTGGTAATATATAAATATAGACCTCATATATATATATATATATATATAATTCTATTCTATTTATTTATGTAGATTCTATTGAGAATAATGCATATTTTTATGGGATTGAAAATGTTTTATCATCGATCGGCATATCCATCTCGGATGCTCTTATAACTCTCTTTAATTCCGATGGAATAGAAAATAAGGATGTATGTATAATTATATTTTCTAGAATAAATATTCATAATAATTAACTTCGCTTTTCTTTCCTTTTAGATTATTAATGAATGTGGATATGTACATATAAGAAGAGAGATAATTGATAATGATCAACTATTTCATAAACAATATAATAGTGATGCAGTACATCTACTTGATCAACAACTCAAATCTATGAGACAGTCATTACAATCGTATAGATCATTTTGGCTAACATTATCTGAACAAATATGTAAATCTAATGATCTGTCTACTTCAAACAACAAAATATGTTGGACAGGAACAGCTATTTCAGTCGATGACAAGTAAAAGAGAGAATTTTCATTTTTTTGTAGAAATACTTAATCCACTTTTTTTCAAGGCAATCTATTCGAATTAGTTATGATAAACCATTGAGTTTACGTTTACAAAGAATATTAAAGGAAATGAAAGAAAAATCACACGTAATTGGGCAACAACGAATAACATCAGGTTCGTATAGAAGTTAATATTTAGAAATTAAAAAATAAATTCTAGCTGTTTTAATACTTTTCGTTTAGGAATAAGTATTTCAACAACGACTAAAAGTTCTTCATTAGTCGATGAATTAAAATTAAATTTAACTGTGGATTTTGATGATTATCCTGATGATAATGAATTTGATTATTCTGATTATGCATATGACGATTCAGCAGATGAATCTGCTTCAACAATAAAAGTTACAAGTACGACTACGTTACCATCATCAACTACTTCAATTAATGATGATATATTAGTTGATGATCCAAATACTGTTTCCTATTATGATTATGGCGAGCAAGATTTATACAGTGAAGATGAATTAAATGAAATATCAACACAAAAATTATTTTCTTCATCTGCCATATCATCGACAACAACAACAACCACAACAACAACCACAACTAAAGTTCAAATTCCATCATATCATCAGCGACGTCCAATTATCTGGAACATTCACACTGATGATGAATTTTATCGAAATTCACAACAACAATATAATAGAAGTTTTTCTCATAATTATTCATTGTTTTTATTGTTACTAATGTTTACTTTCAAATAATTTTTCACCTGTTATTGCTTTTTGATTCTGTACTGGCCAAGGAATAAGATTTTGAAAACTCTTTGACATTCCGGAAACATCAGTTAGAACTATTGATGTTCTCGAGACACCAAGAACTGAAGCTAAAATACGGCATATATTCTATTTGGTTCTCTCATCTACTTCTTGATCAGAACTAAATTACAATGAACCGAATGATAGATTCCTAACTTACTCACTCTGCAATTTCTTCAGATTCTCTACTAAAAATTGACTGCTAATGAAGTAAATCAAGATAATTCTTATAAATAAAAATTATTAAAAGCCAATACTTACCCATGTAGCCCGTCGTTGCATTATCATGTAATTATAGCTATTATTTGCCATTATAATGCATTATAATTGAGAATCCATTATAGTGCATTATAATGGCGAATAATAGCTATAATTACAGGATAATGCAACAACCGGCTACATGGGTGGATCCTATCAACATAACTGTCATAATGTCTGAAGCCCCGGGTTGCTTCCATATATGAAATACGTTTTATACTTCATAAATTTGATATTATTTCTTGTAGTTTTCCTCAGTCGTAATTATGTCAATGTCTAAGAACTGTTAGTGAGATTATTATAAGATCTCAGTTTCTGCGGCTGTTTTTTTTTGTTCAACAATGATATGTTTTGCTGAAATCTGGTTGAAACTCTGTGATCTATAATCGTGGCACTAGTTGAAAAATTTTATGATGCTAATTGAAGTTTAGTTCTGGTCAAGAAATATATTCCATAAGTAAGATCTTAGACACTTTGTCAAGTCTCACAGTATGTATTCCAGTTCATATTTATTCTCGGGAGCGACCAATGAAGTTCTACAACAGAAACTGAAATACTGCTGCATAGAAACATTGTTTTTTAATTGAAAATGCAACTGAAGTTTGTCTTTTTTCATGTGTTTATATTGATATAAGTGTTGAGTTTGAAGATGTATGAAATATTTATAGAGAAATTTTGCCATCAATAGAACGCCTCGTAGGAGCACAGTCGAAAGACCATCACTAAATTGATTCATAAATCAAGAAAAAGGACTTGATGGCGTTGGTAAAGAAAATACCAACATTCACACCCTCAAAAGTCAACTGAACTTTTAAAAATATCTTCTTATATTTTACTGAAAAATAAATAATGTAAAATTAATGCTAAGAAAATTTGGTGATCAGAAGTATTCTGACTCGTACATCACACTACAAAGGGTGGCACGAATAATTATCATTTAAAAACATTACAAATTGTTCACAGTTGATTAGAAGAGTGGAAAAGTCTGACAGTAGTTTTCTGTTTCAGAAGGATATATTATAAAGAACAACTAATATTATATAATATATTCACTTTTGTTCTGTTTGTTGATTCTTTACTTCTCGATATATCTGTCATTAAAGCATAAGAGAGAGAAAGAGTGACTGGTATTGATTTTCCTCTTTGTTCTCACGCTTCACCTTAAACATTAGGATCCGAATACATAGAAGTCTTCTAGTTTTACATTGGTTATGACAGATAATCATAGTATAAATTCAAACATGCATCTTTCATGGTGTAGCCTCTACTGATTGTTCTAATCGCGAATCAGGAATTGCTTTATTCACCTAGTGTAATCATTTTTTCAGGAGTTCTATTAATATTGCTTGTTTAATTAATGATGTATGAATATGTTTTATTAGTAAAACATATGCATGATAATCGTAACTTTTTTTTATTTAATTTACTTAATAATTGAGATTCTATTGAATCAATACATTCATGTTTATTTCCAAATCATTTTCCATTCGTTGCTATCTTTTGTTTTTACTTCGAATGTGCACTTTAATATAACGAAAAAAAGAACTAATATGTTATTAGTATTAGATTTCATTGATGAAAATATGATCAGTGAAGTAAATAAATTTAAGTAACTATATAATATTGTATAGTGACAATAAAATTTTCTATCAAAAACTAGTTCTAGACAATGATTACTTCAGGATGTAAAAAATAATTTGTATCTTGCATATTTATTGCCAATGATAAAGTTAATTTAAAACGTTTGTTACTCAATAAAGACATGCGATGATAGTCTCCATCGCACGTACTGAGAGAAAAGAGTCTTGAATTCTGTCCTGTTATTTTGAAGCAGATCAAAGAAGTTCTTGATGTTTTATGTGTAATACTTTGTCAGACTCATGAAACATTTGTGAGACTGTAGATTTCAATTCAAAGGTTTCAAACTACTTTGATCATTTACATTTTTACTTATAAATTTCAGCGTAAGATTTCATGAAAGTGTAACCTTCACGAGCTGCGATCGTAATGGAATCTTGAAATTTCCGTATATGATTAAATTTTGATTAAGATTTGTTTGATTTTTCAAGTTTGATAGGTGTTGGTATTTAATGCAAGAAAACAGTTAATAAAATATATTTGGTTGTCAAATATTATATGTATATATATAATTACTTTGTCAAGATTGGACGTCATATATAAATATGTATTGAATAAATCTATGTTCTTTTTACTTTTTCTTTACATATAACAGAATATTTGAAGATTTGATGAATTGTATTTTTCCATTAGAAAAACTTAACATGAAAGTCATGTTCTTCGTACTTGAAAGTGAATTTCATCGAGTTTTATTCAATAAAGCACATTATGGTTAAAAACAATATTTTCTTTTTCATTTTTTTTCTCTTTTTATGAAAATACAACTTGAAAAGAAAGTCACCAAAAGCCAATTTTGTTTTATCGAATGGAAAATCAGTTTTTCTCTTTTCATAAAAATTGGTTTTCTATATTAGTTCTGCTCTATTGATGTAGTCATCATATCATAGCGCCCTCTCTTCAATCTTGATGCATCTCGATGATTTAAATTGATAAGATATATTTTCTTTTCTTGATATATAATAATATGGAAGACGTCAAATGTTTTTATTTTCTTTCCTTTTGTTTTAATACCAGTCTTCATAAAAATTCCATTTTCTTGCAATCTTCAGAACACGATAGTCAATCGAGTCCGTTGTCATAGTGAGTTCTGTCGCTTGTCTTCATCTTCTTTTCTTGTCTTGCCTGTTTGCTGTTCGTCGATATATGTATGTGCATACGTGTTTTTCTCGCTTTACTACTGGTTCTCGTACACATTTATTACGTGAGAAAAACTCCTGGACTCTTTTTCTTCTTCTTCTTCTTCTTTTTTTCTCATTTTCTTGAATGTAAGTTTGATTTCATTTTGATTTTTCTTTCTTTTTTCTCTTCATTGAATAAGTTATGTCAGATGAACGAGAAAAAATAATTGAAATAGATCACGAACAGGTGTGATCAAACACCTTACTTATATTACAGTTAAACCTTGTGCTTCTTCTTCTTTTTTTTTTGTTTTATATTTTAGATCAATGAACGTTTTGTTCTCAATTAGCACATTCACGTTAACTTGTCTTAGACGAGTATGCAAGTGAAATTCTTGCGTATATATTTTAATTACTTGAATAAAATAAAATAAAATAAACGATATGAATGGTAGTAATGTGCCAATACTTTCTCATGACGAAAAAATAAGTGTAAGTTGTCTATGTTCATGTTTACCTTAGCTTCATAAATGTTCTACGTCAATACATATTCCTAACGAGACCATACTCTTCAGATTAGAGACAAAAACAAAATAGACTAAATACATGCACCCTAGTTGAGTTCAAGATATTCAGGGTGCAGTAATGATGATTGGTTTTCTTTCTCTTTCTTTATCCACTTCATTCAAGTGCACATTACAAAGAGAAACGAAAACGAATTTCTTTTGCATGATTTACAGTTACATGTCTAGGTCTTCTTTTTCGCAATAAGTGTAGTTAGTTAATGAGATAACATAAAAATTCTTTTGAAAAAAGAAATACGTTTCGTTTATAATTGAAGATACGTAAATAAACTAACAATAACACGATCGATAATAGACTTTACATAATAATAAGAAGAAATAAACATATTGATTCTTCTATTTTCTTTTCCTCTGTATCAATTATTCGATGGTTCTGTTTAAAAATCAAAGGAATGTTTATTCATGAGAGATTAAATCTACACGATATCTTGATCGATCGGAGTGGAAAAGATTATGAAAATCATTTTCGTTTAGTGATATATTGACGTCACTAAAAAGGACATAATAGATCTGTTTTAAAAGCAGAAAGAAAAATAGAAAAATTCTATGTGTTTTCATTTTTCTCTAAGTGAGAGAAATAGAGAAAGAAAAATTTTCATTTGTATTGATTTTATTCAACGTAGAACAGAACAGAACACAATACCTTGAACATTAGTAGATTAATTCTTCTGAAATTGTTTTGCTTTCACTTCTGGAAAACTTTGCCCATACAATGTTATTAGACGAAACACTCGATGTACGTGTTGACATCGACAAGAAATCATAAGTAAACTTGTTTTTGTTTATTTTTTTTTAGCACTACGAATTATCTTGCGAACTTGGTAAAGGTGGTTTTGCCACTGTTTATGAAGCACGTAGAAAAGCCGATGGCCTTCTTGTGGCTTGTAAAATGGTAAATTTCTTTTTCTTTTATCTCTCAGATAAATTCGACTAATTAATTAAAATATGAATAGATTGATAGAAAAAAACTTGAACAAGCAAATGCACATCATTACCCATCGTATGGAAATCATCGTCATGTATTACCTAGTTCACGTTCAACGGCTATGTTTGAAAGATTAAATGCTGAAATAACTATTCATCATCAAGTTAAGCATCGTAACATAGTTGAATTATTGAATTATTTTTATGATGACAAATACGTTTATTTAATACTTGAACTTTGCTCTCATGGTGATCTGGAACGATATTTAAAAGAAAAGAAGACACTAAGTGAATCTGAGAGTATGAATAAAACACTTCGTTTTTCATTATATAACTTTATTCAAGCAATTTGATTACTTTTGATTTAGCCCAAACTATTGTTAAACAAGTTGTTGACGGTCTTTTATATTTACATAATCATGGAATTATACATCGAGATATAAAACTTTCAAATCTACTGTTAAGTGAAACGTTCGAAGTGGTCAGTTTTGTTTTTTTCTTTTCAAAAATAATTAATCATTTTCGGCGGTGTAAATTCTCTATAGAAAATAGCTGATTTTGGTTTAGCAAAAAAAATCCCACTAACACGTGAACAAACTAATGAAACAATATGTGGTACACCAAATTATATATCTCCGTAAGTTGAATTCTTGTTTATTTAGAAAGAATAAATAAAAATATGCTCTTTTTTATTGTAGAGAAATTGCAAGTCGCACCCCGCATAGTTTTGCAACAGATGTGTGGTCATTAGGAATTCTTATTGTAACCCTATTAACTGGACATCCACCATTTGATACAGACAGTAAGTTAGACAAGAAAAAGAAATAAACTCATTCGATTTACGAATGACATTTTTAGCTGTTCACGGAACATTAAATAAAGTAACACATGAAATATATGAATTACCAACAACATTTAGTGAAGAAGCTCAGGATCTTATTAATAGTACATTAAAAAAAAACGCTGAACTACGACCAAATATAATAGGTTCGAATTGTTAAGAAATCCGAAAAATTGATTAATTTTTTTTTCTTCATTTGTAGAAATTCGAGATCATCCTTTTTTTTCGAAAGATTTTTCACGTTCATCACAATCGAATAATTTTAAATTCGCATCAGTAATTTATACATATATTTGTTGAGATTCATTACATTTCTTCGATTATTTATTCTTTTTTTAGTGGGGTCCAGCAGCTGATAGATCTCATGACAGTGGCTTTGTTGAAACTATTGGACAACAACGTTCAACGATTAACACTGACTTGAACAGTACGTCAATGTCAAAAGGAGCCTACAGTTCTCGTCTATATTCGTAAGTTGAAAGATGCTTGAAAAAAACAGTTATTTGATTATTTAACATAATATTCTCATGTCAATCAAGATCGATAAATGCTTAATGACAATCTTTTGTTTATTTATGCTAATCGCATCCATTCAAAACTTAAAAGTTCAATTAAGATCGTATTGCATTCATGAGAGACATGTGTTTTTATCATGAGACGCCTAGTTCGAATTCGAATATAAGTGAACACCCAACTGCATGATATCAATTCGAAATAATTGGTAGAAATAGATTGAGTTTTAGATGACTCCGCTTGACTCCAAGTAGATGGAGTCTCTGATTTCCCTCTTGACAGTATGATTCAGTACCCGGAAGTTGAATTCCCACTGCAAAATAAGCAGCTCGCCTTTGCGAATTCTACTTCAGGGTACTGAGTAATATTGTTCTGTTATGGGAAGTTTTTTTGGACAATTTCCGACAAAGAAGGAAACTAATAACTATTTTATATAATGGTACATATGACAGAAAAAAGTAAAAATATATCAGTTTCCCATTTCTATAATGGTTTTGTCGAGATCAGCAGGGATTTTGCGATACTTACTGTGACTCCAAGAGACTCCGTGTGACTCCTCGTGTTTAAGTATGACTCCCTGGGATCCTATGTGATTATATACAACCAGCTGGCTCTGTGTGATTCCGGCTGACTCCACCTGATTCCGAGGAGTTGGAGTCTGCTGTTTCCCCCTTGAGTGGATGTGCGTTGAAGAGGAGGGGTGGGTTTGATTGTAGGGGTATATATGTATTCATATGTCGCATATATCGGAGTTAAACTAAAACTAAATCTAGGAATAGATTTAGTTTTAGTTTAACTTTTTCTTTTCTCCATTTATATTCGAACTCGAATTAGACAGCTACTCGTTTTTGTATTCTTCAAACCTATCATGTGCTTTGTTGTTACATTAAATTTTAAGTTTACTGAATAAGAGATGACAGATACTTCAACTAGAAGGTTGATGATGACCAAAATGTTGTCTGTCAATTTTAGAACATAATTATGAAAATTAAAATGACTATTTTGATATGCACGAATTGATCATGACATAATCAACACTCCATGTTGATTGGAACAGAACACTATTTTTCAGGAGTGAATATTTTGATATTATTAGTTTTTAGTTCTAGAAGATGAGCGACTATATTTCTTCTAAATACTTACTTTAGAGAATTAACGATAATGAAATTTAGTTTGTTAAAGGAAATAGGAATGTCAGGAAAAAAGTTTACAATCATAATTAACCTATTTTTTTAACAATCATAAATATTCAAGTTAACAAAGAACTCTATAAGAATATCATTACAGTAGAAAAAAAAAGTTATCATAATTTGGTTGAGTATTTAAATCAGATTTGGCTTCTTGCCAATTTTTATTTTCATGTCCTTGACTACAAGGAGTCGTGTACTTTACTTGCAGTTCATTTCTTTCCCATCGTGTTCATTAATATTTGAAGGACGATTACTTTCTACAATAGAACGACCCGAAAAAAATGTTAATCTACGGTTCACCAACACCGATTACCATGCATAAATCTAGTCGCGAAAGTTTTTTTTTGTTGACATTTTCTTTATTCTTATGAAATTTTGTCACTTTAACTGAGCATTTTTATGTTTTCAGACCGAATCCGGTATCTTCTCCACCTGTATCGAACCCTAACGAACCCGTATATAGAAATACACCTGCTCGAAATAAAACATATGAATATTATCTTACTCATCATTCTCAACAGCAACCAATTTTTAATGGACAAAGGTATTAAATAAATAATTGATGAGATTAAATCTACTGATGTTTTCTTTAGTCCATCTTTTGATGTATCTTCAAGATATATTGATAGTAATAATTATAATGGAACAATGAATTTAATGGATCATCGTCCAACAAGTGCAACATCATCAGTACGATCTCAAGATAGCGGTGTTGCACAATCCGATCCTAAAACTTCCATTGATTGTAGTGCAAAATCAGAATCAAGTCCAAAAGTATCCCTCCATAATAGTAATAATCATCATTTATCAAATAATAATCCACTAATCGGACGTCACACGTCAACATCAGAAATAAATCAAAATTTATTAATTTCACAATCTGAACAAGCTTTTAATACGAACACAGAACAATTACGTGAAAAACTTTCACCACTAAATACTCAACGATTGAAAATACATCGTCAAGCAACAAAATCATTTATCGTAAGTTTAATTATTTATTGATTTTTGTTTGTGGTTAACAAGAAACATATGTGATTTTAGATGAGTATCATGGAAAATGGTGAAGTTATACTTGAAAGCATACGTACAAAAGGTACAAAACGTCGCATAGTTGATGTATTTCGTGTATCACATGACGGTATACATATAATAACTTATTCACCAAACAGTCGTCATGGCTCACCAGCATGTGATCATCCTCCACCAATTCCACGTGATAAAAATGCCTATCATGAATATCATTTTGATAGATTACCGTCTGAATATTGGAAAAAATATCAATATGCTCATAAGTAAATTTTAATTAGAAGTTTTCTTTTTGGGTTTATTTTTCGTTATTTAAGATTTGTTACATTAGTTCGATCACGTAGTGCTAAAATAATTCTCTATACACCTGATGCTAAATGTTCATTAATGGAAACAGGTGTAGATTTCGAAGCTGTTTTTCTATGTGGTGTCAAAATAACAATATTTCGAGAAAATTTCAAACCTGATGATCCATTAAAAATAAAAATTTTAAACAATAATGATAAATCAGAATCACTATTAGAATATGAACGTGTTGCAGCGCCAAATATATCTGCAATTGAACATTTCAGTCCAGAATTACGTCAAATGATTGATAATGCAATTCTAGTAAATATTTTACTACTTTGTTTTTGCTGATTATTAACATTATTTATTTTCCTAGTGTTACAAATTTTGTTTATCAAAAGATAAAGTTCTTGAAGATAGTCAAAAACAATTTCCATCAATTCCTGTTTTTCCTGTTCAATTTGGAAAAAAACATACACAACCAGATTTGAATAGGCCAAGTAAATTTCGTCAATTATTTTCTATCAGAAATCTTAACAAAGAAATATAATTAAATGTTGATTAATCAGAGATAGACTTTCTTTCGACGTTTTGCAACTAGATTAAGAAATAGAATTTTGATTTTACAACAACTCACATAAATATTTCTTCTAAATAGGTACTCCATCGTCTATTGGTCGAACTGGATTAAGTAGATTTGGTGGGTCATCATCAACTATCAATCAATCTCATGTGGCACCTTCATCATCACTTGGTACATCTTCACCAATACTATCAACTCGATCTGAATTTGCTTCGGAAAATGATGTTCGCAAAGTGAAAATGCCTTCTCATACATATTCTGCACCATCATCAACAAACCTTACACGTAATAATATTCAACATTCAAGTTCATCATCAACATTACGTTCGTCTGATTATCATCATCAAGTAACTTATATGCCTCAATCAACTGCTCCAGTAACAGCTTATCCTCGTTCACAATCAGTTCATCCGTCACCATTTTATACACCAGATACATTATCTAGTTCGTCGTTTTCTACTCGTCCATCATCAACAGTCATGAATAACAGTTCCATATCAATAGCATCACTTAATTCAACAGCAAATGTTGGAACGACAGGAAAAGTTATGGAAGCAAATACAGCTCCGTTAACTCGAAAATCAATTACTGAATATTCAAATCGAACATTTCGCGTTGTATTTAGTGACGATAGTGTTATGATTATTCGTGATGATTCTCCTGATGGACAAATATTTATTGATCCACAAGGTAAATCTTATTCTTTTGATCGACGACAGCCACATCAACCAGAAGCAATACAAGAGCGCTTAGCACTCTTCTATCAAAATGAACACGATTTAGTTAGCTATTCGAATTCTCAATAACAGTAGTGAAAGCAAAGAACAAAAGAAACGAAACAAAGAGCTTTTTGGCTCTTCATAAACAAATGTGAATGCCCTATTTTTTTTTTGTTTGCTTAAAAGCAAATATGTTATCATTTTTTTTCTCTCTCTCTCTCTTTTTCTACTTGCTTGTCTTTATTATTCGTAATAATAACCATTTGCTTTTCTTGTTTTTCTTTTGAATACACATGCAAACATATGTAACGAATTTTCATTGAAAATAAAATAATCAATCATAGGTACATATAATTGTCATCTCTATGATAGAATAGAATATTGTTTTTTTTTCTTCTCTCTCTTTCTCTTTTACTTCGGTTTGTTTATTTTTTATTATTAGTATTCTTGTCGTTTGTTTTCTTTTTTGTTTTCAAACAAAGAAAAAACTATCCGTCCATTGGCAAGATTTTTCTACAGCCTTTTTTTGGTCTTTTTTTCTATATTGTTGTATGTTTCACAAGATTTTTTTTTAATAAGAAATACCAAGAAAAGAAAAAAAACTGCTTTTATCTCTCAACAAATGAAAATAATTTTTAATAAATTGCGATGAAACTTAAGATGGGCGTAAAATTGACTTCAGGAAAAGTCTACGGTGTTGTATGTCAACTAAATTCAAAAAATCGATCTGTTGCCTCTTTCCTATATCAATACGAAACGAATCAATCATTCAACAAAAATTTATTTTTCAATCTTGAAAAATTTCACCCTGAGGTAATAAACAGCACACAAACAACAACATGCTTTTAACTTCATCTACAATAATAAATTCATAGATGAATTACGATACGAAACTCCAAAAAAAAAAAACATCGACGACTCGGTCGGGATTGATTTTTTAAAAATGTATTTTTAAATAAGACAAACATTTGAATAGAATGAACTGGTACGTGTTAGGTGAGCAGTACCTTTAACCGCATGATAATTCTATGCTGAATTTTTACTACTCATTCTAGTACTTTTTCATGTGCAAATATAGTTTCGAATATTTTCCCAAAAGAATTTGAATCTACTGAACCCTAAAGATAATATTTCATGCATAGTCTGTTCTATTCATTTCATTTCACTGGAAAAAAAAACTAAAACAGCAATTTTCTGGTTAAAATAAACCAATCTTTTTGATATTATATCGAAACATTTTCTGTGTTTTACAAAAAAACATAATATTTTATCTATGCAATAGAGAACAAGAGAGCAAAATGAACGATGATAAATAGTATTAACTTGAATCATCCATATTATTAATATTATGTATTTGTGCAAGTAGTGAATAAAAATTTGATGGTAGTGGTGTTCGTGTCTTTGACTTTTTCTCATCTTCAGATGGTGTTAATGAAGATTTTCGTTTTTCGCCTCGATTTGAAGGATTATTATCTTGTTGTGGTAGAATCTTTTCCGTTTGAGAATTATTATTCATCAGTAATTGTTGAAGAACTGGATATGGCGATGAATTTGTTTTTGTTGAAATAACACTCGAAAGTAATTGTATGAGTTGTAATTGATATGCTCGATCTTCTTGTCGACGTTGTAATTCAAGATTAGCTTGCTGCTCGAGATATTTATACCAACGAGCCTAGAAGAAAAAAAATATTATATAAAAATTCAAAAGCGATAGAACAAACTATTCTTTACTTCATTTTGTTGCTGATACTGAACTAATCGATCGATGGCTTGTGCCAATGTATCATTCGTTGAATCTTCTAATGGAATATGATTTTCATTTTCTTGTTCAACCTTAGCTATTATTGCCTCGCTATCTTCATCGTCACAGATTTCTTCTTCTTCTTCTTCTTCTTCTTCCTTGTCATCATCTTTCAATAGAGATTGCGAATTGGATAATACTGACGATCCATTAAGATCTTCGACTCCGGAAAAAATTCGATGCATTTCATTAAAAAATGGACACGGTCGTTGCTGAAAAACATCACCACGTTTAATAGCTTCATTCGTTTGTCGATACATTTTTTTTAATAATTTTATACGCATTTGACATTCTAGAATAGGATTTTTCTAATAAAACAAAATCAAAATATTATTCTAACTTACGATCAGCCGTACGAGTTATTCCGATGGCTTGTAATTGATTGGCAATATCTTCGTAAATACAACGATTTCGACTATTTAAACGTAATGCTGTTTGAGTTGCTGAATCAGCCCAAATACGAATTAATGCTTCAGTTTCATTGAAACTCCAACTAATTCCTCGTGGCATTATTTTCTCTTAGTTACACACGTTTCTAAATTGATTCTTGCGTCTGAATAACACGTTCACAATAAACGGAAAAGGTCAAAAAACGACAACGTTGCTCATTATAGACTAGAAAAAAAAATTCGTGTTCGCTAACAGAATGAAAAAAATTTTCGTTGAACTATTGCTGTTTGTTATAGAATTTTATTAGCGAATAACTTTTTCTCTCTCCGTTTCTATCGCCGAATGAATTAAATGACATAACATAACATACGCAACCGAACGCATTATTTCCGTCTATTTCGTGTTCATTTGTGTCATTCCTTTTAAAGCAGAGAATCAACTTCACTGGAGGATACATGGCATAAAACAAAATAAAGAAACGCCGAATGTACATAATTAAGAATTTGTATATTTTATCTCGATATAGTTTGATAATGATTGTTTTCCTATGATATTATGGTCATCATTGTGTCACTTTAGCATAATTATTAACAACAATATCTTCAAGAAAAAAAAGCAACATAGACTGCAGACCAATTCGTCAAGGAGCTATTTTTTACTTAAATTTAAAAGATAATCTTCATAGAAACTTAATTAAGTATCACTCAAAAAGAGACGCTATTGTACGACAGATGCGAAATAATTGTCTGAATCTGACTTCAAGTCGAAAATACGACATTCGAAATTGTAGCTGATACGAAGAGCTAGGACCTTTGTCTACAAATGAGATGTTTTGGTTTGATCAAGTGCTAATTCGTAATATTTAAATAAAATGTTTTGAAAAATGTAAATATGATCATCAATCTACGAAACTAATTAAGAGTATAAATATTCTCTTCATTCGTACTCTATTAAACTGTAACATTGTTTGTTTAAGAGGCCGAAATTATTGAATTTATTGAAGCAGTTTGAATCCCGTGCATATTTTAGAATTGAACTAGGATGACAAAAAAGAACTGTTCCCAATTAGAAAATTGCGTTTTTTCTTCTTAAATAAGTTTGACAACGACTGTTTTCACTTCATAGTATGCTTCAAGGCCATAACGTCCTAATTCACGACCATGACCTGATTGTTTAAAACCACCAAATGGTGCTTGATTACATACAGCATCATAATCATTGACCCAAACTGATCCAGCTTGTAATTGTTTAGCAAATGTAAGACCACGCGTTACTAGAAAATAAACATCATCAGTGTTAATATACTAGCGTCTCTTGTCACATACAATCTTTGGTAATTACACCAGCACCAAGACCAAAAGACGTTCCATTGGCTCGTTTCAATACATCATCATACGAATCGAATTTCAACACTGACATTACAGGACCAAATATCTAAGAATTAATATTATTGCAAAAGTTTAATGATGAAAAACAAAAACCAGTGTGTCATACTTCTTCACGAGCAATTTTCATATCGTCTTTAACACCACTGAAGATTGTCGGCTTAATAAAATAACCTTTCTCACATGCTTTCTCACCACCACATTCTAATTTCGCGCCTTCTTGTTTACCAGATTCAATATAGCTCAAAATCTTTTTGAATTGACTATCATTAATCTAGAACATAATAACGAACTTATTCTTTTTCTTTTTTTTTGAGAATATAAAGTTTCATACTTGTGGACCTTGTGTGGTCATATCATCGAATGGATTACCAACCACACGAGTTTTAGCTAGTTCAACACTTCGAGCAATAAATTCGTCATAGATTTTTGCATGAACAAATGTACGAGATCCAGCAGTACAATTTTGTGCAGCATTGGTAAAAATAGCTCGATGAGCAACAGAAACAGCATAATCAACTATTTGAAAAAAAGAAAAATAACGGTGATATGAGCTCTTTGAGAAATTTCGTTGTAATACTTACTATCAGCATCTTCACAAATGATCAATGGAGATTTGCCACCTATAGTGAAAAAGTAAAAATAATTCACGTGAATTGAATTGAATATTATCTACCAAGTTCAAGTGAAACACGTTTAAGATTTGATTTAGCTGCAGCTTCTTGAACTTTCTTTCCGACCTATAATCAAATATTGAATATTAGTTTTCGTACTCTTTCAAATTCAGTATTCTTACTTCAACAGAGCCTGTGAAAGCTACTTTATCAATATCTTGATGAGAAGAAACGGCATTACCACATTCAGGTCCATCACCTAAATTATATTGTAAAGTTTTGGTTTTTGTCTATTATAACATTATCTTTTGTCTTCCTACCTGGTACAATGTTAACAACACCTGGTGGAAAGCCTGCCTAAATTATTAGCGAAAGAAATCGAAACACTTTATATTTGAATAGAATGATTGATACAAATCTAATACCTCTTTGATAAGAGCAGCACAATACAGTGCACTCAGTGGTGTTTGTTCAGCTGGTTTCAAAATGATAACATTACCTGTTTAAAACATGGGTAAAGAGGAGTATAACGAAAGACAAATATCATTGACATTTAGACTTACCGCAAGCTAAAGCTGGTCCTAGTTTCCAAGCCATCATCATAATCTAAATTTACTTAGATGAATTTTATTGATATTAAAGAAAAACGAAACACACACACACCGGATAATTCCTACAAAAGTAAAATATGTTTTATCTCAAGAAACTACAAAGTTTAACTCACCATGGAATGATTTGTCCACAAACGCCAATGGGTTCATGACGAGTAAAAATCAATTGATCATGCGCTCCAGGAATGGTTTCACCAACAATTTTATCAACCCATCCAGCATCTACAATCTCAATAGATAGAATTTCTTATAGAATTATTTGACATACGTACAATATTCAATGCAATCAGCTGATGCATAAATATCACCTTTACTGTCTTCTACAGGTTTACCATTATTCAGAGTTTCCAAGTTCTAAATATCAATTTATATTATGCTATAGGCAGATAAGAGGAAAATCTCTTACCGCTAAATAATCGATATCTCGTCGAAGAAGACCAGCAAATTTTCTCATTAAATTTCCACGTGCAACAGGTTCGAATTTACGCCATGGTGAATCAATGTCAAAAGCTTTACGAGCAGCTAGAACTGCTTTATCAACATCGGCCTACAGAAAAAACCAAATAATACAACGTAAATATCAAACAAAATCAAAGCATTTAGATATTTATTCATACTCTAGTGCCTTCTTCTACTTGACATATTTCTTCGCCTGTACTTGGATTGATGACCGGAAATGTTTTACCATTCGCTGCTTTATGCCATTCGTTATTAATGAAAATTTGTGTATATTTAATTTCTACTCCAGGAGCGCTTGAGTCAGTGGACGACATCTGAAAAGAATAGGAGAAAAAAAAACTAGTAAAAAGCTTAAGCCAATGTGTTTCGATTCACAAACGACAAGATTATGAATTTGTCGTCAACTATGTTGATAAGAGCGCAGCTATAGGCTTCGTTCGTACTTTTCTTGTTGCTTCTTTTTCGTTCGTATTTGCACAAAACACGAACCCCTTTTTTTCGTCTTCCTCTCTCTTTCATTCCCTCGATGATAGTGAAAAAAGAAATAGTGTGTGAAGAAATGTCGATTTTATTTTGCTAACATACTGATACGGGTCAAAAGGTATTGCGAAACATGAAATTATCAAATGCGAGAAAAAATGAATAACTTATTAAGTAGATGTTGATCGCGAGTCCGATAGCCATGATTTCAAAGACAGAGAAAACAACGGGAAGTTTTTCATGTAAATTAGAATACATATTTTTGATAGAAAATAAAAATAAACTATTATGTAAGTTTGATATCAACCGTTTTCACTTCACAATATTCATCAAGACTATATCGGCCTAATTCACGTCCTTGTCCGGACTGTTTAAAACCACCCATAGGTGCTTGAAAATGTAATGGAGCATATTGATTCACCCATACTGAACCAGCTTCTAATTGTTCAACGAGTGTCAGAGCACGTGTTACTAAAATTTTAAAAATATGGACTTCACATGTCGCATGTTTTTGTTTAACTTACAATCTTTTGTTATAACACCGGCAGCTAGACCATAAGTTGTATCATTTGCACGTTCAATTACTTCTTCATAGGAGTCAAATTTCAATATTGACATTACTGGACCAAAAATCTAAAAAGAACCACTTGAGATTTTCTCTTATCAATAATAAACAAAGTGTTAAACCTCTTCTCGAGCTATTTTCATGTCATCAGTAACGCCGGTGAAAATAGTTGGTTGAATGAAATAACCCTTATCACCTAAACTCGCACCACCACATTCAAGTTTTGCACCGGCTTCTTTACCCGATTGAATATATCCGAGAATATTTTCAAATTGAGTTTTACTGATCTAAACAATAGAAATCAGTAAACAAAAATACTATCAAATCTTTCGAATATACCTGTGGTCCTTGTTCAGTCTTCATATCAAATGGATCGCCAACAACACGTTTCTTGGCTAATTCTATACTTCGAGCAATAAATTCATCGTATATTTTTGAATGAACAAATAAACGAGATGCAGCAACGCAAACTTGAGCAGCATGTGTAAAAAGTGCCTCATGAGCTGTTCTAACAGCAAGATCCACTGAAATTTAAAAGAATAAGAAATTCAATATGCTTTCACTCTGAAAAACTTTGGTGACACATACAATCAGCGTCTTCACAGATAATCAACGGTGATTTTCCGCCTATGATCAATAATATAAAACAAAATATTAGTTATCAAATGTCGAGATCTAGCATTTACCAAGTTCGAGTGTAACACGTTTAAGATTGGATTTTCCAGCAGCTTCTTGAATTTTCTTTCCGACCTGCAGAAAAATATTCAGTTTGACCGATTTCTTTTTATTTTAAATATTTTTACTTCGACTGAGCCTGTAAAAGCGATTTTATTAATATTTGGATGAATAGCAATTGCATAACCACAATTAGGTCCATCACCTAGAATAGATTTTCAAATATTTGATTATTATTATCATCATCATATATCTTACCTGGTACAATGTTAACAACGCCCGGTGGAAATCCAGCCTAGAATATAATAAATGAATGAAATCGTGAATTCAATTAAAATCATAGATATTTATACTTCTTTGATGAGAGCAGCACAGTACAGTGCAGTAAGAGGTGTTTGTTCAGCTGGCTTCAAAATGACGACATTTCCTATTTACCCATACAGCATAGTGATTTGTGTGATTTGACAATAAAGTAATAGCTTACCACAAGTTAATGCTGGTCCAAGTTTCCACGCTAACATCATAAGCTGAAGTAATTAAATATATATATATATATACGATTTAGTTCGTGTCATCGTTCTCTATAGAACAAGAGAGAAACTTACAGGAAAATTCCTTTAAAATAGAAAAATATGAATTTGTTTTCAATACATGATATAATTAAACAAACCATGGGATGATTTGTCCACAAATACCAACTGGTTCATGCCGTGTATAAATAAAATTACCTGGTTGCGATGGAAGTGTTTCGCCAGTTATTTTATCAGCCCATCCAGCATCTTCAAAGGATACAGATATCATAAAAGTAGATGTATAAAATCGTCATTATTTACAATAATCAAGACAATCAGCTGTAAGAAAGACTTCGCCCATACTAAGTGGTAAGATTTTGCCACCATTCAATGTTTCCAATTTCTAAATATTTAACAATCTTCAAAATGAAACAGGCCAGAAAGCATTCTTACTGCTAAATAGTCCACATCACGCCGAATTAAATTTGCAAATTTACGTATTAAATTACCACGTGCACCAGGCTCTAATTGACGCCATGGTGATTTGATATGAAAAGCTTGGCGAGCAGCTTCAACTGCCTTGTCGATATCACTCTATACAAGAAAAGGGCATGATATAATACAGAAAGAAATGTACATTATCATAGTCATACTCGAGTCCCTTCTTCTACTTGACATATTTCTTCGCCTGTACTTGGATTGATGACCGGAAATGTTTTACCATTCGCTGCTTTATGCCATTCGTTGTTAATGAAAATTTGTGTATATTTAATTTCTACTTGAGGAGCGCTTGACTCACTGGATGACATCTTAAAAGATTTTAGAAAAGCGATTAAGAAATTCAAATTTTTTGTGTTTTGACTAAAAAAAAGAGAAATTTGCAGTGTCAGCATAATCCATATTGCAAAAAAGCATAGATGTGTTTTTTTTTCATATTTTACTCTAAAGTAACCTCTCCTCTATAGGCAAATAGTAACCCAATCTTTTATTCTTCGCTCTCCTGGTAACATTTTTCTCTCTATCTCAATAGTAGATAAATGCACTAAAAACAGTGGTGCTTCTATCTTTGCCTTTGATTTGATAGGTCAAATAAATGACTAAATAGCAAAATAGATTGTCGTGTAATTTTTATACTGACTATGCAACAATTCATCATAAACAAAAAAGAAGCTGGTTTTTGATGAGAATGTTTCACTAAGCATTCATACAAGGTAACGCGACGTTAGCGTCGCCAACCCTCTACTGAAAGGATTCAATCATGTAGAACGTAGCTATCCAAAGCTATCTAGCTGGGAGACTTCACATTTTACAGTTTCGAAATGATTTTCATGGAAAACACGATTGATAACCGAGCATAAATAGAAAACTTGCTTGGAAGTATCACCAAGAAAACGGCATTTAAGTAGTACTCACTAATACTATATGGCAATAGTGAAATTAAGTGCATATGATCTACTACAGCTCAAGCTATGCTTCGAAAACTTTCGATCAGCTTGATGGCGGAGCGAAGAAAAGATCCATTCAGGAGAGCTATGATCGAAATACTCCATTTTAGTAAAGTTACAACTCAAATTGACCTATGAACTAGATATTTAACATCAATGTGCACAAGTAGATCAGAGATTAAATCAAACTGACTTTTTTAAACTCGATTTCGGTTAGATTCGTCCTCATTTTTGCGCAATCCCATGTCGGTTCATTTTGTTTCGATGCGTTTCCCGTCTAGAATGCATATATTCATTCCCGGGTGCACGTTCACAGATAGATAAGACTAAGATTTACATCTTTTGAATCAAATCCACTCGCAATCTGGAAAAACTAAACTTATCAAGATAATCACGACAAATATTAATTTCAAATATTTCACATGAGTTGAGCAATTATTTCACGACCTGTCTTCGGAAGAACTTCAAGATATCTACTATCTTCAAAAATTGCTTCAACTTTTCTGAGCGAGACAACGTGTCACTACTCTATAAGTCTCCAAGGCCTGTAGTCTTATAATCAAAACAGATTTTCAACTGTGCGACTGGTAGCCCCACTAGTTTTGTCTCATATATGCGGTGAACGTGATCCTTTTAAACACGGCATGATTGATTGAAAGCTTCACCTCATTCTATAATTATTAGATGAAAACAAAGAGAACTTTCAAAAAACCCGAAAACAACAGTTGTGGGACTAATTTAATCCAGTTTCATCTACATATGCGATAAATTCCTCATCATTTAGAGAAGAATGAGACCAGATTCCCGAGTACTTATCCAGTTCGAGTCCGTTCGTAGATGCGCTAATCTAGAATTCTAGGAGTTAAGTTTGAATAAATTCTTCGTGCTACAATAAAAGTTGACATATCAAGAATAAACTGAAGACTTTGAAAAAGAAACCTTCAACGTCTTAGTGCAGGTCAGCGGCTAGTCGTTACCAAATTGAGAATCAATTCCACCGCAAGATGCATATAGTTTATTCGTAATAAGGCCTCACATAACTATACAATACAGCTAACACTATAAACATCATCGGATGGTATCGTTAAAAAATTTCCCTACAAAGAATTCCTATCACGAAAATGGGACGATCTAACTAGTTCCTAATGCATTATAAACTTGCTTGAACTACAAAATTAAAAAAAAATGGCAACACCATCGTGTTCCCCGATCCAGATTACCTTCGGCCATACCTATACCTACCCCTAGAGAAATTGTTTGATGCTAGGTAAGTTTATGCATCTGCTTTTGCTATGACGAACGAACGAACGAACACATACAAACGGACGACGCTAGCTCGCTTTTCGTATAACCCTTCTTTCAGTAGAGGGAATGAGAAAAGAAGAAGATAGAAATGGCACATTTTAGTTTTTTAGAACAATCAAGTAAAGAAACTTCTTAGAAAATCTTCCGTTGCCTACTGTAGAATAATTTGCTATCGTATAACATTTCCAATATCCGATTATCAAATTATGATTTGAAGCCAAAGGAAATAATAATAAATCCTATGAATAGATGGTCTGCATCATATCGAAAGAAATCAAATTACCAATTATGTCTGCTCCTGATTTACACCAAAGAGAAATATGTCGCAAAATATTTTCAGTAGCCTCAACTGTTTTTGTAAATATCACTTCAATGAATGCATAGAAAATATAAGCAAAACTTAAACTATTTTCATACTTTTGTGCCTTCTGCTTGAAAAGAAGTTTGTGAAATATTGGCGATCGGGTGTGTTGTAATACATGGTAATTTGTGCTATTCACCGTTTGCATAGGCTAGCATGCATTTCAATGCAATTTAACGAAGCTTTGATTATAAATTGTATTGTAACGATCAAACTGAATCGAAGACACACCTAACCTTTCGACTATACTGCAACGTAGGTAAGTCCAGTGATGTCATTGTAAACGAGGTTTCAAGTATAACGAGCGAACCCTTTTAGGAACTTTTGCTGGTCTGTATTGTACAATAAACTTTCAGTTCTTTCCAGTTGACCTAAAAGATTAAATCATGTTGAAAATTCCTGTTATGATTTTTACTTCTTATTGCAACAGAATACATTTCAAAACGTCTAATAGCGAGTGAAAGCACACAAACATTTATTTACGCATCAATTAATTACCAATAAATAAACTACTTTGTAATATTTCGAAAAAGAAACTGTTCATACACAACATTATCATAAATGTATGAGAGTAATGATAAGAACACGACAACAAACAGAAAGACTGGTGATAAACTAATCGAGTTCAAACGGAAAGATCGAATATATCTAATGGAAAAATGTCGCTTATTAATTATTTTCCTGACGTGCCATTATTCGTTTGCTCATTTGGCGTATATTTGAATAAATTTGGTCTTCGTTTACATTATCATCATTCACTGTTAAATGGCTTTGATTTGTACCAGCAATTGGTTTTGATACAATAGTAAGTAAATCAGTTAGAAAATCACGATTACCAAGTATTTCAACATGTGTTACTGCATATTCGCCACCTCTTAGAGCATCTTCAAGACGTGTTGTTAAAATATCAAATGTTGTTGTTTTATGTACATATTCCCGAGTAATTGCTTTAACATGTCCTGGATTATGATACGCGCCTGGCTTTTTCCATGGACCTGCACACATATGGCCAAGCGAAACGAGTGGCACAGTTGCATCACCAGGACCAAGATAAACACCGGATTTAATACGCGCCGATGAATTCGTATGAGAAGTGTTAAAAAGAAGTAAAGCACTAGAACAATAATCTGTACCAGGATAAAAACCATAAGAATAACCACTAAAATATAACGAAATAATAATTTTTAAATAGCAAAAATATCACGGGAAAATACTCACCATTCTGTCATTGGTTCTTTGACATAACCATACACTAGAAAGAAAGAAATCAGTGTATTTCTCAAATTTTCATAGATCCTCAAATGTTGAGTATAGAACGATATCACATTCTGTCGTTAGATATTAGAATAGAAAAACAATGCTTTAATACAGATGTCTTCACTTTTAATTCGAAAAAATTTAACATTCGGATATTATCATTATCAAAGTAAGACTGGTAACACAATTAAAATATCACCACTAATTTTACTCACATCAATTGGTCAATGAAATAAACATTATTTTTATACTTTCCAGAAGAATCTATTATTGATGATGGTGGTTTACTTAGTAAATTAGGATAGAAATATTTTATTATGGTATAGAAAATATCTAAATTCGTTCTATTTCTTTTAACGTAGAAATTAAAACAAAATAAGATCAAAAAATCTTCAGTCGCACGAGGAATTAACTCTATCCAATCAGTTATGTCTTTCTCGCAAGCGATTGGAACTATCTTCCTTCGACATTCATAAGAGTCAATATAATGAAATAATAAACTTACTGCAATAAATTTTGAGATCAGTTACATTTGGCAAAGGTGTTGATAATGGATCAGCCCAATATCTTGAATCTGATTTCCATTTTTTTGTTTTATCATCAGCTTTCGATTGATACATTGAACTATCGAAAACGTAATATTTGTTGACTAAATTCATATAGCGTGGTGCCATGATTTTTAAAACATCAAAAAATTGTTCAACTGTATGATTATGTGTCATAATTTCTTGAATCAATTCTGGTTTAGCATAAAATTCTTCGAGTATAGAATCGAAACCATGATTATAATCAATTTCTTCTTCACATTTTTCTTGTATTTCTCGTAATTTATCTGCAAAATGTTTATAGCGATCTATCGGGAAAGTAAGCATATGTTCAAATGAATTCTTTTCCGTTCCAAAACATTCTTTCCAGACATTGCTTCCACCTAAATAAAAATATGAATTCATAAAACACATTAATTTAAATAAGACTCAAACGATTTACCTCGTGGAAACATGGATGCCACACTACCCAATGCACGAAAAAATTTAGGAAAAACGACAAGTTTACCAACAAGTTTCCCAAGAATACTTCGACCAAGATCACCCAAAACAGCTGTGTCTTTCATTTCACCGGATAGAACAGCACTAAATGCTTTCGGTGTACCTAATAAAGGTCCACCAACATCAAGAAATGTTGCTACACTATAAGTAAGAAAGATCAATGAATTACACAATAAACGAAAGTATTTTATTTTTCTTTCACTTGTCATCAATCCATTGATCACCTGCTTGTTCAGTAACCCAACGAAGAAAATAAAGCACATAAGTAGCTCCCATTGAATGCGTTAGTAGTGCAACCTTTTCACCATGTTTTATTCTATGAAGGAAAAAATATATAAGAAGAGAAAAAAACGCAAAAAAATAAATGAATTTACCGAAGAAATTCTGTATAAAATTTCAATTGTGTAAAATAACCATCACGTTCTTCAAGATATTGTGGTTGTAATCTCCAATCATAACCAAGTGTTACTAAATTGGTCGGATCATAACCGATATCAGCTAAATTTTGAATAACTTTACTCCATAGCCAATACCCAGGAAATCTAGCTAGTGAAAGAAATACTACACTGACAAAATTAAATGTTTATCTAGCTTACACATAATCAGCTGCAGCCCAGCCGAGTACAGGCCGAAGACGAATCGAATCAGGATCTCTCCTATATGAAGGAAATAGAAATAGAACTCTACTCTCTCTCTCTCTCTCTCTCTCTCTCTCTCTCTCTCTGTGTCTCTTTTGCATACCAATTCGTAAGTTAAGTGAAATATGCTTAAGCCAACATTGATGATCTCGACTAATACTATCCACCATTTGCATTGATGTCCAAAAGCGATGACGAAATTTACCAGCTGTACATTCTGTTCCTTGCCATAATTCTAAACCAGTTGATACAATACCTGGTATGATAATAACTGGCATCGATGGTTGTCGATATTTAGCTAAATGTTGTCCCGGACGAAGTATAAATTCTTCAGATGTTAAATTAAACTTTCTCAGCATATCTTCTAATGAGTTTCGTATCAAAATTGAATAATCCGGTCGTAGAAACATAATGAGATAAAACAAACCAAAAACGAACAATAATTTACAACAGAAATGATTACATATCCATGAAGATTTGTCTTTTTTAGGTTTTTTAATATCATGCTCTGATTCATGATCAGTCTTGTCTGTTGGTTTATAATTGAAGTATGATGCCAACCATGGAATTATTGACTGTCGAATAGGTGATTTCTCGGATGATATCTCATCCGTATTCGATTTTTTTCTTTTATTGCGACGATGATGAACATTTGTTTCATTTGAATTTGGCATCACATTCAATGTTTCGTTCGCCATTACTCTACGATACAATGAAAAATCATAAAGAATGAAATAGCTTATAATTATTATCGACCTTGTACCCAATGGCATGAGAACGAAAGAAAAATAAAAGCTAACTATAAAATGCAAGCAGATGCAAAAAATGGAATGTATTGAACTACGAAGCCATTAACTGAAAAATCATTCTTACCAATTAAACTATCGGTTAGTTCTGTATTTCGATGGTTAAATTTACTCCTTGTCTATCACATTCACTATTTTCTCTTTTAATCATACTAAACAATTTTTTTCTTGGTTGTTTTGGCCATATTTGTATAAGAACTAAAAAAACAGCTCGAATCTTTTTCGCACAATCGAATTCACCGAAGAAGATGACGAATTTTTCTTTTTGTGTTTCAAATTGAAGCTAAATTTATATGTAGCGTAAAATTTATTTTAAATGCATCCATAAGCTTTCACAGAACAAACATAAAATTTGTATGCATCATGTGGTTCCGAGAAAAAACAACTATTAGTTTTATAGCAAGTGAAGCTACATGCCAAATCACGTATCTTAAGTTAGGATGATTTTTTCCAGAAAAGACATTATCAATGCCAAAGAAGTGACTTTGATGGAACTAAATATCAAGAATGAACATGATAAATAATCCTATACCAGGTAAGGAAAATAATTTCAATAGTACGATAATACTCGCATATTATGAAAAGGCTAATTTGAAATGCAGAGATATTTTTAAATTAAGTTTAAGAAAGTGAAAAATAGAGACGAAAATGAGCATGTAATTTGACTATGAATATTTGTTTTGCTATTAATAAATATTAGTTGATCAAAGATAACAAGACAACAATCTTGATGCATCTGGTAATTGCTGGGCGTCATTTGCTTTTATTCGTAATTTGTTTGCCTATAAATTTCGTTGACTAACTCAATACTCCTATAACTAGCATGTTGGACGATGAAAATGACCACTAGTGTACTGTCACATGAAATTTTATGTGGAATATTAGATAATTCTCTATCGATAATGATCTATCAATCATTTTGGATAAATCAAATGGAATTCTATTCTTGACTCCCATGCTATCAAGATACTTAATGGTCAGTTTTTCAGAAATGTTACCCTTGGAAAATTATCAATCAATGTCATCTTGAACACTTCTCTAAATGATTCATATTCTTAGTAGAATTGGCGAAAACAAGAAATGGTAATTGTTACTAAAATAGATAAAAAAAAAAAAGACTATAGGAGATACAGCGTCATTTTGTTTGTCGATAGGATCGACTTCTTAGTCGTTCTCAACGATGAGGGATATATTAGGCAACAAGTCAATTTTTAGCGAGATATTAGATGAAAAGAACAACGAGAAAAGATAACGAATACTCTATTCTGTAATGTACCACGTTCTCGATGTTGTCATGTGCTGTCTATGTTCATTCGTGCGTAAAATTCAATAACGATTGTTTCTCAGCGTCTATTTCTATTACAGTTCTATTTTTGATTTTTTTTTCCTAATATAGACAATTTCGAATACTATGAAACTACTATTATCAAACGGAGTTTTATCTGAAGTCTAGCAGTAACAATGATTGTCTTCACTAAACGCCTCGGATAATTTAGTACAGTTACTCTAATTTTCCGAGTTGTATAATTAGTAAGAGACGTGAATTTTTTTTGTTCTTTATTCTCTTATGAAAAAATCTACAGGAACATAGCGATATTTGAAATAATAATAAATATCAATTTTCTTTACTTTTTTTTCTTCCTTCTTTCTTTCTTTCTTTCTTTCTGTTCTCGGTATCTATATCTGTAACATGATTTCATAACACATTCTTAAGAGAACAACAGTATTTTGCCGCTGCATTATCGACATGAAAATCCAACGAAGAAAGAAAATAACCGTTACTGTAGGTATGTGCACACATGATTATCATGAGTAATATATGAGACTTGCATCGGTTAACATATACAGCGTGATCCACCAAAAAAAAGAGCTAAAACAATTCAACACGGTATATTTATATCTACAAATAATAAAAAAACAAATCAAACGGCATTATTGAAAAATCTTTTCTCGTTTCAGATGGGAAATCATCTACATAAACAATATAAAATTTACCAAATATTAACTGATGACACATTAGCACATTGTCATGCCGTTACCAAATTTAGTGATGATGAGATTCGTGCTGAACATGAAAAATTTTTTCGTATTACGGGAAACGGCTGCTTAAAAAAATCTCATATGGAAGAATTACTAGGTGATTATGTTCCACTAGGAAAACATAAAAATATAAAGTATTTAACTAAATGTATTTTTTCTACGATCGATACAAATAATGATGGCTACATTGATTTTCTTGAATATTTAATAAGTATAAAATTTTTCAAAACCAAATCACCGATTGAAAAGGCTAATTTTATGTTTCGCATTCTGGATAAAAATGGTGATAAACATGTTACACTTAAAGAAATCGAACCTCTACTCAAATGTTTAGAAGAGTATCATAAGTCATCATCGAATACTCATGTTACCAATATGATGAATGATGGTGCAAAATCAGCAGCATGTGCTGTTCTTGCAAAATTAGATGAAAATAACTCAGGAGATATTGGCGTTTCGGAATTTGTTGACGGATGGCTTAAAGATGAAACTATACGAGCATTATTTACATTCCAATGATGTACAAAAAAAAAGCAAATCGAAAGACAAAACTTATTTGACATATTGTCATATGTGATTTTTTTTTTCAATATATATGATCACTTTCAGATTTTTTTCTTTCGGTTCACACGAAACAAAAACAAACAAAATATTTCAATAACAAAACAGAACAAAGCAGAGCGCATATTTGGCAAATGTAGTTCCGCCTTTTTCTCTATCAAAATCAGAGACCAAAACAAAAAATAAACAAACAAAACAGATCACAAAAAAAATGTTCACTGTGCGTACATAACAGTGATTTAGACGAACAGAAAAATTAAATACTATACTAGAACATCACAGAAAACAACGAGAAAAAATCGTAACAAAAAAACTAAAATTTCCTATTGAAAATCGAATGTGAAATGACGAAGATTGATGTTTATTGGTAAACTATCAATATCATCATACAAACCGGGCGGTTGAAAACCAAGATTGCGATGTAATTGTTGTGTACACGTACGACGGATGCCGAGTGGTGGCGTCCAGCGCCAATGATTCGGCCATTGAGCTCGACGTATGTACCTTGGGAAATCTAAATTGACATAGGTGTACTTATATATATATATATATATAGATAGATACAAACAAAATCTGCTTACAATATGGTTCAATAACTTTACACTCTTCGTCCCAATCTTCAGCAAGAGAAGACGGAGATGCATCTAAAACAAGAATTCAATAAATTATAAAGACGGCAATCATAAAAATTGATTAAGAATTCTTTACGATGTATGTAGAAATGCCATCTAATAGATTCGAGAGAATAACAGATCATTTTATATTCTCCGATTTCATTCGCAAGTAACTGTTTAAGATCAATCTAAGTTCTAATTATTAAATACAATTGTTGAATCTTTTCACTCGATATTAATTCTCAATAACGAAGAAACATGTAGGAGTATTAATAATAGTGACTTTCATATTCTATTTATCTTCTAAGATATTATTTTTTGACAAAGTACTACTAACCGTCGTCATATGGATTTCGTGTTGAAAACGGATAATGACAAGACTTCTTACGAATTGATTTGGGTACAATTGAAATAATTTGTTTATTATTCAGATTTTCAGTAAATTGCTTCTTAATATCAGACATCACAGTTGATTTTTTTGTTTTAAAATTCATATTAACAAATCCTTCATCATCATTATCATTCTTCAATGTCTCAATTGATTCATCGTTGACATTATGTATATCCGATGTCAAGTGAGTTTCTTTATCTTCATTGAGCTATAGAAAAAAATAACAATAATTTCTGAAGCAAAAAAAAAGAAATAATTATAAAATTACACTAGGCGAACTATCAGTATCACTTTCGATGCCTGATGAGGAAGCATTCGACGACATAAAAAAAATCTACAATAAATAATCCATGTTTTGCTTTCGTTTCAAATATGTATATTATGATTTAAAATATACAAAACAAAAAAAAACAGAAAAGAAACATTAGGAGTCATCATCTTCATTATCATCATCGTCATAAGAAACAAGAGATTTTGCTATTGTCTCAGACGATTGCTGTGGTTTATCAACACTTCGTACAATTCCTAACGCAGATGAGAGCTGTTTTTTGTTGCTTGTAAATGTAGCTGGTGTCCAATTTATTTCGGATGCTATTGCAGTTGTTCCTTTCAATACTTGTTGTTGATCAATAGCTTCGCGTCTATCAGTTTCGCTTTGCTCTGCAGCTAAAATCGAATAAAAGAATATTTTCAAAATGGAATATTCGCTGTTTGACATACATCGAACAGTTTCTAATCGATAAAGTTTCGCTAGTCGATCATCTTGCCGAGTCGACGGTAGAAGAGGAATATCAATCGATGCTTTTTTTCTTACACGATCATCAGCATCTTTTTGTAAACGATCTTCACGTTTAGCTTCCTGAAAAAAAGAATAAATAAAAACGGCAAATAGAATATATTAATGAATTGCAAATTTTTGATACAATCGATATAAAAGACTAAAACTTAGCTGGCATCATTTCAGAGGAGCACAATAATCTCCGATATTACCAACATGAAAACTCCAACTTTTCCTTCTATTTCTCGGAGATGTTCGATCAAATTTCGAATGAAAATAAATCGCATTCCAAAGAAATTTTTGTATATGTAAGCATGTTTTTAGATGTACTGAATCTAGGTAGATAGTTTTTCAACTTTATAAGATGATCTCACAGAAGTAGAGTTGATATCTGCTTAATGCAAAACTAAAATTGATTATATCTATTAAAAACTCGTTTCTTTCAATACTCTATGGAATCTAATAAAAAATTAATAATCAATTCGAATTTTTTTGTCATATTCTTGTGAACTAAATTATTCCGGAAAGAATATTCTCAAATGAATTCAGTTGAAAATATGTACTGAAGCAGTTCACTGCTCTCCAATCTCAACACTACTAAACATTACAATCAGAACTAGAATCCAGTTTGTATTTATTCTACACTAAAATATACAACTGTTTGTGAAACATAGTGCACACGTCGAACGAAAGAACGGACAAAAATTACACTATGAATCGATCGTATAGTACGATAAGACCTCGAATGCTCTACGAAATTAATTGACCATAATTATATTCTTTTCCTCGTGTTTACTTTCAGAGTAGAAATATTTCTTTTTCTTTGCATATGTCAACACTCGAATAAAACGTTTCTATAAAGTGTTAAAAATTCGAATCGCAACATCGAAAGAAATAGAAATCAATCACTCAATCGTACCAAAAAGTTACAATTCACTTATATAAATCGAAGAAATTTGATGTTTACTCGTAGATTTTTTCTTAATACATAATTAATTATATAGTCATCTTTCCAAGCACTTTGTTGTATCTCAAGTTCATTTAAATCCGGAGTTGATTTATTGATCTTTTTGGCAACATCTTTACCATCATATTCTAATTTAAACATAGCATCTGTTGCGAGCTTTTTCATTTCTTCAGTTGCTTAAAATAAAATGAAAATTTATTAATAATAAATGCTGGAACGGGTTTGATCAAGTTACATTCCATAACAATTTGTCCATTGTCTGCTGCATCCCATCGCTGTTCTTCACGACGAGCTCCGCTAACAATAACATAATCACGAGCCTATAAAACAATGAAAATCATCTTTATACAAAGGTAGTTTTTAAATACAGTCGTATTGATTAAGTGTCATGTACAACTCTACTAAGTGAGTAAGTGTTCAATTTTTTTTCGATAACTAAACTGATGTAATCTTTAAAAAGAAACGAATTTCTCAAACCTTATGAAATCATATTCAAACAAACATTTCACTGCTACGGGTAAACTCACCTTAGGGTCAGTTTTTATTTCAAAATGTCCATCACATAAATGGCATTTCATACGAAATTGAAATATTGGTGTTGTATAATAATTTCCAATTTTAGTTTTTTCAGCATTATAACGTACACCCATACCGATATGATTCCCACATGTATTGCACCATATATTATATGGCATTTCAAAACTATTAAAAAAATAAGAATAGAATTTTTTAAAATTTAATTGAAGCTTCTCATACCGAATAATAAGAATTCCTCGGTCAAGTTTCCGTGCACGCTCACGGAGAGCATGAACACCTTGATAAGCATTTAGAGATGAGTGTTTTCGCCAGTCGAAATCTGGTGGATAATATTTATTTTGACCTTTTCGTTCACCCTAAAAAGATACACATGCAAGTAGAGTAATGAATTTTCAACAACAGTTACTTACCATTTTGCTACTAACAGACCAACACTATCGAAAATGAATAAAAATTACATCAAATCAATAACGTATATATCTACAAACCAATTCTCACATGTCAAAAGTTAGAAGAAGCGCCCTCTATACGAAAAATATATATTCATATAGTTTATTTTACTTGGAAATCGTATTAATAATAAAACAAAAGCAATAGTTTTCAATAATAATATTAGCAGTTTACTATTTTTGATTGATTGTTTCATATTACAAATCATAAATATGTAAAATGACAAGTTTGATTTTGATTAGATAATTATCTGTCCGTAAGAAAATTTTGTTTATTTATTAAAACAAAAAAAAGCCAATCAAACACATAACGACGAATGTTTTTCAGGTGACTGGAAAAAAAAACAGGAAGGGTCATTTTCAAAAAATGCAATCACTACACTATAATAGTGGGTCTATAAAACTAAAACGAGAACGTGCAACGATGGTCTCTCTTTGGGACGCTAGTGAAGTTGCACGATGGATTGAAGGTGATTTCATAAAGATAATTAAATTAAAAAACAGTTTGTTGACACTAGTTTTTCTTTTACTTGTCAAGGTCTTGCTGGTATTCAATCTAATACACGTGATATATTTCTTAAGCATAATATTGATGGTACAGCATTAACACTTCTTCTTCGTGAAGATCTTATTCGTATGGGAATAACAAAAATTGATCAGCAGTTGATTCTGATGCAATCGATTGATCTTCTTCTTACACTTGTAAATTTTTCTCCAAAAATGTCATCACCTTTATAGATTGATTTGTTGATATTCTAGGTCAGTCGTTTAACTAGTGAAACACTGGCTCTACTTTTTATGCACATTCATTGCGCAGCAACGACATGCTATAATATATTAAAACGACATGATCTTAAAGAATCCACAAATAATAATAATAATAATAATAATAGTACTATCATGAATTCACCCGAGTTTTATTCATCCATCAGTAATTTATCCGATGTAATTGTTATTACATGTCATTGGCTTGGACGGTAAACTATCTAAGAAGCTATTGTTCAATGACTTTTTTTATTTTTTTTTATTAGATTACCATTTATTGAAAACAAACAATACATTGGTTTTCGTGGAAAAATAATCAAAATTTTAGTTCAGATACGTGAATTACTTCGTAATTTGCGACTTGCTGATCAAATTAACATGCCAAAAACAAAATTAATAGTAGAAGTAAACAGTTTTTTATATTTAACCTTTTAATAAAGCTTAACGTAAATATGAAGAGAAGACAACTGAATAGAATTGATAATATATTATCATAAATATTAGATCATATCAAGAGATTAACATTCTTGTTGACGGAATAGAAATGAACGTAAACAGAAACAAAGCTTTTTCATCATTGAATAATTATTCATTTATCTATGCATCTGACTAATTGCCTGATTATTCTATTTTATCTATTATGAAAATTTATTTAGATTGAAAAATTACGAACAACAGCTATCACATCAGTTCGTCAAAATAAAGATTCCTTATTTTCGTCTGATTGCTATTTAACACGAGTTCATTTGCAACGTCCACTTAAAGATGATGTGGTAAGAAATCGGGCTTTCGCGTTTCATTGATTTTGTTCTTTTGTCTATCTATTAGAATATTGAATATACAACGATGTCTGATTTCACTCATGTAATCTCAAGTATTGAGACAGAAGTAAATTTAACTGAATGAATACATTATTTATTTTATAGTCATTTCTTTTAGGCTATGAGATACATGGGATCGGGTTATAGTGCAATCAATATTGGAGACGAAATTATAGAAATTAACAATCAAGTTGTTGTAAGTTCTTCATATTTGATTAGAAAATTCTCTAGTTAATTTACTTCGGATAATATGAACTTGTTAAAGAAATCAAATTTACTGTTTATTGTGCAATTACAACATACTTTGTAATCATCTGAAAGAAAAGTAACATAGAATTGCTATTTTTTGTTTTTATGGAAACTCGGCTGATGTATTCTGTGTAAATTGAAGGCACTTGGATGGAGTAGTAACGTTTTCAATGCGGTTGATTCTTATATGAGAGAAATGTTTGATGGACTATTTTAAAGGGCAGAAGAAGAACTTCAATTAGTGGAGCGCTCGACAATGAGAATGCTCGATTATTCAAATAGTAGTTACTTTTGGGAATAGACTTTTGAATAGTATGTTAAAAATGAGAAAGTTGCTATATCTCATTCATGCAAATGGTATCTCTTTATTTGCCATATTGATCAATAAAACTAGTAGACAATTTGTTAAATATTTGTTCTGAAAATTAATCAGAAAGGTGCATTATTGAGTTTTTCTGCTACAGTCACCAAATAAATAATAGCTTTCTTTTTTATTACACTGGGTCATAAAATAACTACGCATTTCTATATACAATAACACGTTTCTATGTACATTATTATATACATTGTCATCTTCCAGTGTTACGATAGGAATAAAACCTGCATGATTCATTTTTGAATCATTGTTCATGAGTCACGCGAGACTTCTACCTGGACAGTTCGTGAAATCGGAACATCTTTTTTTTTCTATATTTATTCGGACTGAGGTTCTCGATTTTGTTTTTCTTCGAAGATTGGTTGGGATCCAGACCATTTTAACGAATTACTTCGTTCATCGTCACAGAACAATGAAATATGCCTATTAGTTAAAAAAATGCCTCGACATAATGATGATGAAGTATATACAAAACGTTTTGTCGACGGACCATCAAACCCTCGACGTTCACGTGCTCGTCATGCGCTAGAACAAAAACAACAACAAACACAAGAATATCGAACTATCTTACTGGAACAAGAAGGGTATTTATTGAACAAAGATTTTTATTTTATTTTTTTACTAAAATTATTTTCGACACATCGTAGCATTCGAGAAGAAGAAGAAGAAGAACAGGTACACTAAGTGTTTATATTTTGTCCATGTATTTGAGTACATTTCTTTGTTGTCTATATATTGTTCGATACGGCGAAGAGTAGTCATTCTATTGTTCTCATTATTTCTACCGTTTATTTTTTAGCGAGATTGTGATTGAAAGTGATGATGAAACGCTCTATCAAAGTAAACGTACCTCACAAAAAAAACGCGATCAACATTTATCCTTACCTGATCTTACCGAAAACATTCCGAACAGTGATAATGCATATAATAACAGTGAACATTCCAATGATATCGAGCCATCATCATCAACTTCATCAGTATCGACAAATCCTTTAATGTCACCATCGTCTCCAACTCAATTGGATATACAAACTAAGAGTACGGCGAAAACGAAATAAAAAAGATTGATTAACATTACTTGCATTTTAGGTATTGAACGACCGCAATCTGCTGGTAGCAATCAGTCAACACCAAAAAGTCAAAGAAAGGCGGTAAGAAACCCTAAATATATACACGTTTTTGGATAAAGAAAAGAGCATTCTTTAAAATATCTTTGAGAAGTAAAACACTAGCTCAAAAAAAAAAAGAATACCAAAAAGTACATGAGCCATATTTTCGTTTGTTTGCAAATATTCAGAATTCGCGATGATAATCTCAGAATATTTCTATGTAGAAACTTACCTCAAACATTGATCCATATCACAATCAAATAAATATTCTCTGAGATGTATGTTTTTTCTTTGTAAGCAAATTTTTTCTAGGTCAAGATTGAGACGCAAGTCTCAGACCCTAGACTGAAAGAATTTAGCCTCGTCTATTTCTAGCACTTATAATGTAAATATATAAATAAAGAAACAGCAAAGCATTAATTCCCCAGACTTAAATATACAACTCAACTAGGCACTAGTATAAAAGCAAACATCGTGAGATAATGACGCATGAGAGTAAAACATATCCACATGTATTGTAAGCAAGCAGCTAAATTAGTGCAATGATGATACACTCCCTTGTCGAAACAAGACCATCAATAAACAAAAACAATTCTGATCGTTTATCCGATCATATATTGCAATCGTTCACAGAACATTTCTATTTTTTGACGTCATAGAGAGAATAGTTTATATTATTTTCAGGGTTTTGAGTCATATATTTCAACACTTTTCCGTCCTCGACACGATTCTAAATCAGTTATTGCCGATATGAATGATCATACGAACAACAAAGATCATCCACAATTAGTCAATATAAAACGTATTCAATCGACATACCAAACAAACTCGCCGAGTAATTCTACCATATCATCGCATGATGAACAAATGTCTTCATCACCACCGGCAACAACAGGACGACCTATCAATAAAAGTGCTAGTCAAACAAGTCTACAAACAACAGCATCAGCACTTTCATCACTAACAAATATATTTAAAGTAAAACTTCATAAACATTCTTGTCTTTCAGTCGTTTATATGAATTAAATTCTTTCTAGTTATCCGAATCACCGGACAAAAATCGTACAAAACGACCTAGTGGCGATGTTAGCAAAGTGGCGACGTAAGTTGTTTTTCAAAATAAAAATGGCAGCTAAAACTAACTCGTTAATATTTATATAGATTTCGCAATGAATTAAAAATGGAAATAAATTCGATTTTTGGCATTAGTAATAATAATAATAATAATAATAATAATAATAATTCGAATGTCGTAACCAATAAACCACCATTGAATCATAGGGATAGTCGAAAAGTAAAATACTTATATTTTTTATACCCATTAATAATTTATTTGATCGTATTTAGAGTTCTTGCTCTATGGAACGACGTCGTCCAAAACGTACACGTAAGTAGTTTTAAGAAAATTTTTCTATGAGTTTAATTTTCTAGTAACAATATATGAAATCTCTATTATTCTAGTGAGTTTTCCCTAAAAAAAAAGTATAAAGGTAAAGTTTTTATTATTATCCGGGATAGCTGTTTTAGTATTGGTTTAAAGGAATACATTAGATATCTTTGTTAATGATTAGATGTAATATTTATCTTTTTTTGTTTTCGTTTTTAGCATCATATAAAAACATTTCATGTAAAGATTTGGGTAAAGGTGATTGTGAAGGGTTTTTATATCGTTATCTGTCTAAAGGAACATTATCGTTTGTACAATGGAGACTTTATTGGTGTGTTTTAAAAGGTGGTACTTTATATGTATTTAAATCAAAAGATGTAAGTTCTTCCAGCGAAAGAACAGAAAAATTCAAAAGAACAAATTTTTTTCTCTTTAGGATAAAAATCAAGAAGTTGAAATAAAACTCGAAGGAAAAAATGTTTCACCAGCACCAGAGAGAAAAAAATTGTAAATATAAATGAGAAATTTAATACTTTCGAATAATAAAAAAAACATTTTTTTTTCTAGTGGTTTTCGTATTACTGATGAAAATAGTAAAGATCGTGAATATTTTGCTTGTGCAACACGTGATGAAATGGCTAAATGGATGAATAAAATGGGCTTGGCAGCTATTAATTTTAATATTGATGATTCGAAAATTGCCGGTTTTAATAAAGGTTTTATTGATTCCCGTGAATGTTCACCAGTAGCAACGCCAATTATTGGTTCTAATAAATTATCAAGTAGCAAAAATAAACGAATTCAAAAAATAAGTTCCGCTGGTGATAGTGAAAATGACTCCGATAAAGAATCTATTGTATCATGGCAAAAATCTATATCACATAACAGCAGTATTTCAGATTTGGACTCTGTAAAAGATAAAGTAAATATTTACACCATGAATTCATATTAATTTATTTTCTCTTTATTAAAGAGTTTTCTTGACAGTAATAAACAAGTAAATTTATCATCGGCTCCACATCATGCACGTTCATCATCATCAGTATCATTATTTTCATTACCCGAAACGAATAGTTCTCCATTGAAATCACCTTCGAATCGTCTACTCGGTACATTTAATAGAATGCCATCAAGCAAAGGTCATCATCGAACATGTAGTTCACCAATAAAGTTTTCACCTACCTATGAAAAACCTCATCAAGAAAATTCTTATGTTAATGCAGCACCAAGATTGTCAGATTCGGATTCTCCAAATGAACAGTTCTATCAACGTACATTTGTTAATAGTAAAATCTTCAATGAAAATCAAACACAACAAGTAACATAAGAGAAACTATCGAATTGATTTCCCTCTATCGAAAAAAAAACGTTCTTGTTTTATCATCGTTCTCACAATTAAAGACAGCTGACTAGAGAGTTAGAGAAAATGAATTGAAGTCATGCTTTCTCTATTAATAGAAGTTTTTAACGGAAAGCTCAATTGAAGCAACGGTATTTAGTTTGTTTGATAATATGCTAAACATCATGAGAACAATCTTGATAATTATAATTATGATCAAACTTTTCATTTAACTATCGTCAATTGAAAAAAAAATTTATTTTTAGCTTCGTCCTACTGCAAATAATTATACACCATTAGCACTCAATTCATCAGGTGGTTTTTCTACACCAACTACAACCTTATCGTCAATATCCAGTGATAAAACTCCACCAATTTCTTCACGGCCGGTTATATCCTTATTTCAGCCACCGTCAGAAAATAGTGTTTTTCTTGGCGATGAAGATCTTTCTTTACCATCATCTCGATCAACAAGTTTTTCTTTTGAGAGACCAAATTCTTTATCTGAAGATGCATTCTCGTCTATTTATCAATCAGAAATTTTCTCACCTTCAATAAATACTTCACAAAGGCCACCGTTAAACTCCTCATCATCATCGTCTTCGGCCATTTCGGCTCAACAATATTCACCTGCCATTGTCCTTACAGCTCCCGTGTATATATCTGTTTATTCTACAACACCCCCAATGCCAATAGTGAAAAGTACAGTTTCATCGTCGGCTTCTCCAACAAATAATCCCGAATCATTATTTTCACGTCGTTCACCATCACCAAGAACAAGTGGACCATTGGCGAAAGCAACTAAACTTGGTTCGAGTCCATCGAATGTAAATATCCCACAGCAATCATCATCACCGTCAACTCATAAATATCATCGTTATTTAGCAACGCCAAGTGAAGAACAAGAAATACAATAATATTTTTACTCTTTACTTTTTTTTGTTTGAATTACGATCATCTCGTCTATTTTTATTTTTCTGGCAATAATTTTTTTTTTTAAATAAGAAATGTATTTTCTCTTACTGTTTTATTTAAAACTTGCATATAAAATAAATAAATTCCGATTCCTCTATTTGTAAATCTAATCTATTAAAATTTCTTCAGAACAACAACTAGTAATACTAACGATTATTGAGTAATCACAAGAAATGTATCATCGATTGATTAATCGAATATCAATCAACGGCACACGTGATTCATTTTAGATTTTATCTTGATTATACAAATGCCAAGCATTATCGTAAGTTAAAATTAATAATTCATTCAATATATGTACATATATAAAGAAATTTCAAGGACTAATTCTCGTTATGAAAATTTTCAGAGCATATATAAGATGCTCTGTTTTATTTCTCATTGAAATGCGAATATTTTCTAGAATAATTATTTGCATATTAATTTTTGAATTTTCTAATTTGATTTTTATCTTTCTCTAAGGAGCATGACCGTTCGAAAATGCGTTTTAACGCATCATCAATGATATTTGTTCGTTTTCTTTTGCAAACTCTTGTGATTTGGTGTATTATCTATTTCATCAATCATCTTTTATTGGTATAACTGATTTCTTTCTATAAATAAACTAAATCAGTTCATTATTTAGCGTTATCATGGAACAAAACGTTCATATAATCGGCTACTTCGTTCGTTAGGTTGTCATGTTTCGTTATTAAATATAGGATTTTATACAACATCATTTAATCGTGCTTTTTATCGTATTGGTACAACTAATTCTCGTCTATGGAAGATATGGTTTACTGTAGGAATTCTTGTTGCCTTTGCAACAGCTGTAACATCTTGTGTTACTCTACTTATTTTACCGATTAAATATATATATGAATTGCAAAGAAGACATTCAGTAAATGCAAATGTTGTAATAAGTACACAAGGTGATACTCGAATATTAACAGACAATACTAGTAATCGAAAAGATGCAATAGAAAGTGACCGTGATAAATTATTAATTCAACCAATAGTTTGTTGATTGACTATTTTTGTATCTCTTTTTTTTCTAAATTCTGAAATTTAGATTCCTGGTGTTAATGTACCATTAGAACAAATGCCACATTTTTTCTTAGCGTTACTTATATGTACAGTATTTCATGAGTTTGGACATGCTGTGGCGGCATCAGCGTAAGAAAATTTATTCGATCATTTGCAAGTGAGAAAGCTTTCTCTGTTTCATAGTGAACAAATTCGTGTCAATGGTTGTGGATATTTTTTATTTCTACTCTACCCTGGTGCTTATGTTGATCTACATCAAGAACAATTACAAATGATCTCAGCTGTGAGACAATTAAGGTAGAATTCAGAAGAAAATTTTATCAATATAATTATTCGTGTCTTCTTTTTCTTCTTCTTCAAGAATTTATTGTGCTGGTGTCTTTCATAATATGGTTCTGGTTATTATTGCTGTTATATTTCTTCTTTTAAATCCTCTTTTTCTTCGATATTTCTATACAGAAGCAGCAACTGTTTATCGTGTAGCAAAAGTAAATATTTTTGTTTAAAAGAATTTGTTTTTCTATTTATTCGATTCTTCAGGATTCACCAATTCGTGACCTTTTACCAGTTCATTCAACAATACAATCGATTGATGCATGTATAGTAAATACATCCAATGATTGGTATAAATGTTTACGATTGATCAACGATCGGCCGCCACAACATAGTAGTGGGCATTGTCTAACGCAAAGTGAAATACAAATTCATTCAAGTCATATTGGTAGGACTATGAGAAAGAAATTGTTTACTATAAATTATTTAGAGCTTTACGGAATCGAAGAAAATGTAGTTCTGCAAAGGTCACATTATAATCATACCTATCAGGCGTCTAGAAAAAAAACTGCATAAACTTTCCTACAGGAAAACATTTGTAGCTTGATAATGCCAATTGATAGAAATAGATCGCGGTTTCCGGCTGCCTATAAAAATAATTCATAGAGCTCCTAGCTCTGTGAAATTTTCTCTCCCTAAAGTGAATTTGAAAAAATAGATTATGATGATGCACTATTCTGTCTAACTAATGGTGTAAATAGTTGTTTTTTTCTTCTCATCATAGATTTGTTAAAGTAAAGGTAGAGAAACTATTTTGTCCATTAAGCCGATCTTAATCGAATTAACTAGAATTCCAATGATGATATCCTGAGATGCTTAGGAATTTTACTAGATATCATAGGAGATCCATGGAATTCTCAAAATCTTCTGTTTTCAACTTTAGTAGAAGTTGTGAAATAGATTTATTATCGTTTGTAAGAAGTATGCTGATTGTCTACTATATTTAGAATTGAATCAAAGAATTAATTTTGACTGTTGTCAGAATTTATCACAAAAAAATTATTGTTTTCTTCATCATTCAAAACAGTATCCTGATCATGTAAGTCATCGGTTTTTTATATTTCAAAAGAAAGAAGAGAAAATTTTCAAACTCATATAGAATGGTGCATGTATGGAAGCTCGTATTGTTACAAAACATCCATCGTGTTTAATCAATAGTGATTGTCAAAGTTACAACGGTGATGCGTCATGTGTTCATCCATTTTCATTCGACAATGTTACACGTTTAATACGTATTGCACATAGTAGTGGCCCAACAATACTTTTTGTCGGTTCAATTCACGAAATTTACCGAACCAGTAAGAAAAAAAAACATTAGATTATGTCTTAAAACCATTCTTAGTTTTTCTTCTTTTATACTATAGCTATAGACAATAAAATAGAATTCATTAAAATGTCATTCTTATTAATTTTCTTAGATACCTTATATGGACGTATCCTCTGGATATAAATTTAATCATATAGACATCTTCCTTTTTCTCTTTTTCTTCGAGTCATATATTTAGTTAAAACAAGAAATAATGACCGTAAAATTTCTTCTATCAATAAAATATGATGATTAGAATAGTATGAAACATAAATTTCATTTCCGATTTCTCCTAGGTTTAATGATAAAGTTGAATAACTAATGAAAATAAAATCTGAACTAATGAAGTTTTATTTTAAATGAACTGTAAGACCGGAATAGTAATTAGACATCTTTTTTCTTTTTCACAAATCTTAGAAAATATTTTTGTCTAACTTCGTAGAAAAAACTAATGAATAAAGTATAATAAATTGGTGGCTTAGAATGACATGGTTTCATAAGGTCGAATGGTCTCGGAATCCATCGTGATAATCTAGAGTTTAATGAAAGCTATTTACCTTCGGTTGAACTGTTTCAACGATTTCCTACGTATCAATAAAAGAGTCCAATGAAATTAGTTTGTTTTGTTTTATTAATAAAAACAATCAATTCGAGTTGAGAACAATTTCCTTGTTCAAGAGCTTTTTTTGTCAATTGTTTGAGCACCTCGCAATATTAAGAATAATCGAAAAAAATCTTTTCTATTTAGTTCACATTCAATCCTATAAACCAAATTATAAATATTTTCCAACAATTCTAATTGATGATGTTCCATTATTTTTTCAGTAAGCAATTATTTTTTAATTGAAACAACAAAAAAAATTAATCACCAAAATTTTTGGTTTTCTCAGATATCTCGGTGCATTTTCATTTGCATTGGCCTTTTTTAATGCAGTACCTTGTTATGCATTGGATGGTCAATATATTCTTTCGTCATTTGTTGAATATTTATCACCAAGTTTATTTAAACGTCGACGTGCGAGTATTTTACTTGGCTTAATTTTTGGTACTTGCCTTCTTATTATTAATGTTACACTTGCTTTTGCTCGTTATTTTCTTTAACTTTCTACGTTATTGTTCTGTTTTTGTTGTTGTTTGTTTTTTTTGTATAAAAAAAATTATATTTTAATTTTAATTTTCTTCTAGACAAAATAGCTTGATTAGAAGAGACATATATCAGGACGTACACCTCGATGAGCAAAGCGAACATTAAAAAAGGAAATGAAGCAAAATTAGAGACGTGAAGAGTATCATGTGATATGCACATACAACAGGATATTGCAATTGAAACTAGCGATTGCCCATGATGACATATCATCTTTTTTTTCCTTTATTGTCATCATCATATTGATGACAAAAAATAATTGCAGACGGAGATGATTAAAGAATAAAGAGCATACCGGATATGAGCAATTCATCGGCATCGGGCACTTGCTCTTACTATCGTCATCATCAAATGTAATCAAGCTTCAAATTGCTTCTTCTTTGACAACATTATCTTCATCTTGAATGTTCACATTGCTGTTAGTTTCTTATAAATTATTTATGAATAAGCATGTTATTAAAGATACTAGAAGGCACACATATACTGTAATTATTTGCTGCTAATAGTCTTCGCGTGTAGCCGACCTCATCATCATTTTAGTTCTATTATTTGCTCAAGTAGAATATTCAAAGAACAAGGAACTCAATATGTATGTATAAAACAACCTCGAGTCTAATTATGGGTATTAACGATCTCAATGGGTGTGTATGGATAAAGAGACAAGAATATGTAACGATAGAACAATTATATATTGAGCCACTTGTATATAAGAATAAGAGTGTATATATATATATATTTCCAGCAAGCTCAAGTCGCCCGCAATTAACTCGAGTAGCTCTATTCATTCAATAACACGACAGGTGGCATTGATGTTGATGATAGTGTGAATCAAAATCCTTGTCCTATAAACATATAGTTACGTTTTCTTTTTTTTTTATTCATACACCAATAGGATATAAATGAAGCGGAAAAACGATTATGTCTTTCATAGTAACAGATTAGTCAGGATTATTCGATTAGTTTGAGACTCTTTCTTGTTAAACACGCAAATGATTCTATTCTTTAACAATATAAAGCATAAGTATCAGTAATGAAAATAAAGATTTTTCTTCTTCTTCTTCTTCTTCTTCTTCTTCTTTTGATGATACATTTCCGTACTTCCTCGTTAGATTACAAATTTGACCTTCTTTCTTTGATTTCCGTTTATTTCTTGTCTAATTTTCCATATTGTCATCATAAATATACAAATGAATAATAAAGTCACGAAACACTATAATGAATTTAATCGTATAATGTCTTATTATTGAAAAGAGCCAATTGACATGCTTTTTCTTTTTATTCATTCGCCACAAGGGATTAATTTTCATGTTCACAAAATTCGGCCAATCAGAAAACGATTTAATTTGTAAAGACGAGAAAAACAAATTGTGCAATTATTTTCTGCGAGACAGAAATACTAATTTAATTGATTAATGATTGTTTTTGTTTTTGTTTTTTTTTCATATTTTAAAAATAAGACATACACATAAACTGTACAAGCACTGTAAATATTAGGAAAACAAGAGGGGGAACGAAAGAAAGGAAAAAAACAGATTTATTTTTTTAAGCAGTCGCATCTTGCAACTCTAATTTTACGCGTCTATGATGATTAAATGTTGTTAAATAAGATGACGTGTCTTCATGAATATCTGATGTTGAAGAATTTGACGATGATGATGTTGGTGATGCTGACGATATATTTATATTGGGCGATTGTGTTGAATGATGATTGTGATGCTGCTGCTGTTGCTGTTGCTGTTGTTGATGATGATGTTGGTAAAGTAAATCAAGGCTTGAATGATTAGCTGTGAGTGGTAAACGTGCTAAAACTTTTTCATCAATTCGACCCATCAAAAATGGTAGATAATGTGGTGGAGGAACTGATATTTGTTGTCGATCATTATTATTATTATTATTATTATTGGTATTAGAATTTGTTCCGTTCATAACAGATCCTGTTAAAGCATTGGATAGATAAGTTGACATTTGATGACGAAATGATTCTAAGTCGTGTGGGCCCATGAACTTGGGGCTTTCGCGTCCTAGAGCTTTTTCGCGTTTACGATATTTAGCCCGACGATTTTGAAACCTACGAAAAACAAAGATTATTATTTCGTCTCATTTTGTTTTTAGTGTAACTTACCAAACTTGTACACGTGCTTCACTTAAATCCAATCTCATAGCGAGTTCTTCGCGTGTGAATACATCTGGATACTGAGTTTTCTCAAATGAACGTTCAAGTTGATGTAATTGATATGTTGAAAATGTTGTTCGACTTCGTCGTACTTTTCGTGACCGTTCATCACAACTATGATGGTCAGTTGATGAATCATGTTCTTCATCATTGGCCAACAATTTATTATTGCTACTGTCCGATGATAAATTTTGTAGAAGTAAAACGGATGATGTTGACGACGAAACTTCAGGTGCTAAATAGAATACATAAATCAATTCCGTTTTCTTACATTAATTATGATATTCTATATTTTATTGTTCATAAAGTAATTGATAAGAAATTCTCTTTTTTCTTTTTCTTTCTCCTTTCCGAACAATAGACAATAGGCTGTTGATAAAGTCTTATTACACACACACACACACACACATTGAATGTTTATATGTAAGTGAATATTAATTGAAATGGTTTCTTAATAAAAATGTATTCATTCTTACTTTCAATTGTTTGTCGTTTATTAGATTGATGTTCATCAATATTATCGGAATTCTTTCTTTTTAAATTATGCGTCATTGCTGATGAATGATTATTTCCAAGTATGGAAGCGATTGTAAAACCAGGCATCGAAAAGTTTGTTGTGTTTATATTTATATCTATTTAGTTTCTTGTTTTTATTCAATTATTAAATGTAGTTGATGATTTGATCGCGAGTGCGCACCGAAGAAAAGAAAAAAATTTTAGTTGTGACTATATGTGGTCGATGATAATTATATTCACTTTCTCTCCCTCTGTCTCTCTGTCTCTTTTTCTTCCGTCAAGAGGAGAAGAAAAAAACAAGGAGTAGTATGTCGAGTTATTCTATTGGTGCATGAGAAAAGTGGGACAGCACGAATGTTGTAATCAACAAACCAATATAATCATTTCACACGAGTGTACATATTGTAAATAGAACGACGAAGGAGAGAGGAGAGACCATAGTCGTAGCCCTTCAAGTTTCTGTAGTGTTCGTTTCGGTGATTGCTTGATGACATTCTAATTCGTCTGAAATGAAATGATGACTATATTGAATAATATATGAATTAGTCGGCGACGTTTTACTGCTGTTTAATTTTCTCATCGGACACACACAAATAACGAAGAAAATTAATAGATACATACCTTTGATTGAAAAAGAAAATGGAACAAAAAAAAATGAAAAGCAAACGTCTTTTTAAGACTTACTAATTAATGAATTACCTCGGCAACGAAATGTATTCTACATCTGCTATATTCAATTTAGTATTTAAGTTATGAACAATCTAATTAGTTTTCATTTCATATTAATTCTTTTAACAATAGTTAATTGTAGTAAATTTTTTACAACTTTAAGAACAACTTCGACGCAAAAATCTAAAACAAAATTTTCGTTAATTCTTATCATTGGAATCACATTCGTCAGTGTAATCATAACTGTTGTTATTATCCTACTTCTATTATATATTCGTCAACGAATTTATAAACATAAGAAGGAAAAAGTTAAACGAAAAAACAAAGAATATAATATCCCATTCGAATCATATAATAACATCAATGAATTAGATACAATTCAAACAGTTGGTATCGCAAGCGAATTTACAGATGATTATAGAGAAACAGAAGTGAAAACAATTATTTAAATGATTCAATTGAGCTTGTAATGAGAGAGATATATTAACTTCAATCGTTGTATCAATATTGAAAAGATGATGATTGTTAAGTTAATCAAACGAAATGAAATATGATGATCAAAAGAAAGCTTGCGGGATATAGTTTTATATTCATGTTACTTTTCTTTTTTCTTTCTATTCCGACATTTGATGTTACCATATGACGAAGACGACGAAGAGGATTGTCTGACGTCATCAATTCAAATCATTTAATATTTATCGGGGGTTTTTTCTTTAATCGACTTTTCTCCCGCTATGCCAATTTAATTGATCAATAGAAATAATTAACGCAAAAGTCTTATAGAAAAGATTTGATAGCTATAATGATTTATGAAGATAAGAAACTTATTCTTTTTTTTTCTCTGTTGTTTTCAATGCGCGTATACGCGTGTCGATAATTGAACACTTCATTTCCTGCGAAATTAAACACAACTCTTTATTTTCACTCTGTTTCTGTCCTCATATCAATTGTCATTGTCCGGAGCCCTCGAGCACAATTAAACAATATACACATGTATATTGTTGCTTGCGCATGTTCACACCATTGTACATATTCATCATCATCAACAAATTGATGAAGAGTAAAGTGGAAAAAATGATCAGGTGACTAAAGTGTGAATCAAAACACAATTAACAGTAAATTGTTTTATTATGAAAATGTCGATTGAAAATAGATTTCAATTATATATACATAACGTAGATGAAGAGAAAATTATAGAAAGAATCTATTGATGAATTTCTCTTCTACTAGGCTAAAAGATTGCTTTGAAAATATTAGAGTAATTCTAATAACGAATAGGAATTTCTACTTGATGAAAATGAATTATAATGAGAAAGTTTCTACAAAATTCTAAGAGGTGCGCTATGTCCTTACAAAGGAAATAAAACAAGGAACAGAATGTGCGGTCGTTGTATTTTTTGGAGACCTGCTGTGAAATATTTTTTAAAATATCATGCCAAAATTAATACCAAGTTAAAAACAGTTTCGTGCAGTGCTTGTAAATTATGAAGTAAGGTCATTGGAAGTACATTGATCTCTCGTTTTAGTCAGATGTGTTTTCCTGTTTTGAAATGACTTCAGTGAAGAATAGATTCAATAGAGCCGTCTGTGACCTGAAAACTATTACTTCCGATGTTTTACGAGATATTGCGATGACTATTCATCTATGAAATAGAAAGTTGAGAACATAGAGTAAAAAAAAATGTTTCTGGTACATGTTTTGTCATTATTTTGCATATAGATATTGAAGAAAATTCGAGAGAAACACAATGCGTGCAACGGAGATAAATGTGTCATACTATAAGTTTATTGCTGCATAAATGAATACCATATAAATTATTTATTTTATTTTATTGAAGAGAAAAAAAGTCAAAGATGACAAAAAAAGTGAAAAGTCTTGGTTTTCATGTAGTATGGACGTCTTACATACACGCACCGAACTTTTAATTTAGTTTTTGTATTCGTATATAAAAATATGTCTGGATTATTCATCATGATTATCATAGGATTTGTCATTGTTGATTTTTGGCTAAAAGAAAAAAAAAACGGCGAACCAAAAATAAATTTTTTTGTTTGGCATCTATCTAAAGAATATACATGCATCGAATCTCTAAGGTGATACTAAAGTAGCATTTAGATATTCAGCAGAAGCTTCAATCGTGCTAGAATCTATAGTTTGATTAAATAAATTTAGTGTCGATTGCATCGAACTAAAAGATTCATTGATATTCTGTGTAGTCGATTCATCATTGAATATTGTTGATGGAATGAATGAAGAACTTTCAGTTGTGATAACATTTTCTATTGTAGTGTAGGTAGATGATGACGAAAGAGTTGTTGTGAATTCAATTGATTCATCTAGATATGCACATGAGGGGAAAATAAAAAGTTTTTTTTCTAAATATTTGAATGTATTTACTTGTTTGTTGAGTATTGGTCGTAGTTATTGTGTTGTCGGAAAACGTTGAAAAGTCAGAAGATGAAATGTAATCATTAGATGATATAGCATTTGTTGCAACAGTTGAAGGATTCGTTCCTTGGGAATCTAATGTAGTATCTACATTCACTGTTGTGAATACTGGTTCATTGCTTAATGATGTTAATTGAACTGTGGACATTTGTCCTGTTGCATCTGATGCTGTAGGTAAAATGCTTGATATAAATTGTTCATTAACTTTTTCCGAAGTGAATGATGAAGTTAGAGTTTGATCAATAGTAGACATTTGAGTGGATATGATCGAGACCGTTTGTCCCGGGCTACTTGTTGTCAAATCCAAATTTTGTATCGTTGATAATGTTTCAATATTTTGCTGTTGCTCTGAGCTTAATTGTTGATTTGATGTGGATAGTGCGTTAGTTACTTCGGTTTCACCGAAAGAAACAGTATTTGTAAGATCTAATGATGATAGTGTACTATCGATCGAACTTTTGGTTTCTACTAATGAATTACTCGAATATATGATATCGTGTAATGTTGAAGTTTCAACTGCTGACAAATTTGATTCGGTCTGAGAGATGATATTCGTTGTTAATAGTTCACTAGTAGATATTTCACCGGAAGAATTCGTTGCAATAGTAGTGTTGATATTTTCAGTTGTAGAATCTAAGTTTGTCTGTTGATTAAGATATGAACTAATCGTTGTTTCATCATTATTGGCAGATGATAGTGTTTCTAACGTTGAAAGTTGATCTTTTGTCAAGGTACTTAAATTTTCTGATGCTATTAAGTCACTTATAGAGCTCGTAGAATACGATGATATTGAAGATGACATGTCTACAGTTGGTATTGAAGGTATTAATTCACTTGGTGTGCCAGTGTAAACATCAGTTTTTCCTTGTGAAGATTGAGTTGATTCTAGTGATATCGTATATTCTGAACTTAAAGTCGATTGATCTAAGTTTAACAGGGACGTTGTTTCTGTCGCAGCATTACTTTGTGAGGATTCAACAATTGGGTTTGTAGCTGTAGATACTCCATCGATAAAAGTACTGAAAACTGAAGATGATGTCGAATCTGCCATTGTAGATGTTGTTGTATCAATATAAACTTCACTTTGGGACACCAATGGTATTAAATTATCAGTAGATTGTGAAATAATATTGATAGAAGTAACTGGTGTGATTGTCGTATCGTTTTCCTTAAATAAAATTGACATTGTTGGTGATTGTGCATATGTAGTAGTTTCGATAGTACTGCTAGAATCTTGCGTAGTCAAATCTGAAGTAATTGGTATAGAGCTTGATTGTTGGAATTCGTTAATAGTAGTAGGATTTGCCATCAAAGTACTATTTGTTGATGTTTCGACTGTATTCTGAATTGAATTCGAAATAGTTTCAGTAGTTTTCAATAAATCGATTGTTGTACCATCAGATGCTGTACGGAATGAATCAAATTGACTGGATAAGACTGAAATTTGTGAACTACTAAGTTCTATATCAATTGGCGACATCATTTCAACAGTTGGAGTTACATTTCTTGGTGATATAGTTGACGCCAATATTGATGATTGATCAGTATTCATAACAGATATTGTACTAGTTGATGTTTCGTCGATCACTTTCTGTGTACTACTATAGAGATATGTAGAAGAATCTAAAGTAGTTGTAACAGTGTTTGACTGCTCTGATACTGAAGAAGATATTGCATTAGATTGTGTAGTAACTTCTATCGTCAACTGCATAGTAACAGTATCAGTTGATAGAATTGAAGAAATCGTAGACGAGGTTGTTCCTTCGCTCTTGTATTCTTCTACAGTGGTTTGTAATTCATTTTGAGATGTACTCAAAGTGCTATCAGTACCTTTGAAAGTTTCTGTTGTTGATGAATCAATATTTGATAAAAATGTAGTGAGATCAGTTGTATCCATCGATGATGACGTGATACCAGATGTAGACCAACTTGGCTCATTTTGTACGTCAACTGTAGAATCACTAATTATTGTCGCTGAAGACACAATTGCCTCACCTAGAATTTTTGAATTTTCACTATTAACATATGTTACAGTCACAAGGATCAACCTACTTGTCGAACTAGTTATTTGTTCTGACGACGAATACTCCACAGACGCTATTGTCGATGTAATTGTATCAGCAGCATTAGTAGAGCTATCTTGATTGGTTCTGGTTTCTGCCTCCCTGGAGACTGTCCTATCACTGTTTGTGACTGCTGATTCATTACCGAAATTTGCAGAAATGTCTATTAGTCGCGCTGTTGTATACTCCAAATTCAATGTTGATGATGATTTGTTCTCAGACACCTGTTCGACAGTTGAAATGAAATCTATAGCATTAGTTGATGTTAGTGTTATAGTGGGAATATTTGACACACTGTCTGCATATGTTAGTAATGACGATTGTATTTCACTTGTCATAGTAGGTGTGAGAGATGTGACAAAAACAGCACTATTATCAGATGTATCCGTTAAAATACTACTGTGAATTGTTATTTCATTAGTACTAGCTTCTGCACGGAGACTACTTGTGCCTATTGATGCTTGAACTTGGTCACTAGCAAGTGTGGACTGATCACCTATGATATTTACATATTCAGATGAAAACTGTCTCGCAGTTCCAGTTAAATCTACAGTGTAGTCTGAACTTGTAGACGATACTACCGAAACACGCGTTGTGACAGAACTTTCGCTGCTGCTTGACACAATTCCTGTGGTCAATTCCGCAACAGCATTCGGGATGCTCGTTGTTGTTAATGCCGACGCAGATTCCACACCGGATTCCGACACAGTAACGGAAGATGCTAACGATTCTTCATCAGTTACAACACTTTGTGAACCACTAACAGTAGTTACATCAACGATCGAATCGCCGAATGTTCCAGAATTAACGCTAACAGGAAATGTCCTAGTTATTAGTTCAATTGTTTCAGATATTGTTGCTGAAATTATCGGAATTGAAGATGTTTCAGAACCAGATAATATTGACGTAGAACTATCAACAGAATTCGATCCCTGTGTCGTC